TCGCAGAGGTGTCCAAAGTCAACGAGGATGGGACCTACGATCTGGCCTGTCACAAGTCTGCATGCAAGTGCTGAAGGGCTGTAGGATGTGAAGATCGCTGGAGCTACTAAACTGTAAACGTCGGTGTTCCTGCAGTGTTTGTGAGAGGTTTGGGGGTTGTGCTTGAGATACGATGTGAGACTTCTACTTCCCGATGTTGCGAGCTTTTGTGCCGGCATACATCGGCCCGGGCGCTAAAGGATCATGTTGAAGCTCCGTAAACCTGTGACGTCATAGGTAGACGGCCGCAGGTGCCGGCAGTTTGCACAGAGGAGTAAAGCCACCATCTTTCAGGGGCACTGCCACGCATGAGCACGGCAGCACATAATGCCTTGGATTCAGAGGTCATGAGTCATGACGTTCAAGATGAATAGCCTGAAAGACTGAAGTGTCATGCAAATCCACAGAGCCCCAGGCTTGAGATCTCAATGAGTGTTCAATTCATCGAAAAAGCGCTTACTAGCCCATGGTCCCGGGATCGCAGCATAGGCAAGCCGCGGGTCCTTGCAGAGAACATCCGACTGCCTGACAAGTCCGAGGCGCACCATTTTCGTTTGCTTTGTATTCCGATGTAGTAATCGAGACACATGCTCCTGGGATTTATGAGTGACAAGTGACAATGTACTGCTCTACTAATGCAGTCATGACTATGTAATTGGCCGCACCAACAGCTTCATCATTCATATCCGTCAGCACCACCACCATCATCGCAAACATCACAAGATGGGCATATCCGTCAACATGTTCATCATCTGTGCCAGTATCATTATCATCATTCTCTTCTTGTCATTCTCATATTATTGTCCTCATCACTACGTGTCGTGATAGTCGCAGCAATACTCATCAGCAGCGAGTTAAGGGTCAGAGGTACGAGCTGAGAACAGCAATAGCGATAGGAAGAGGGCCAGTACTTGTGCTAGCAGCAGCAGGAGTGGTAGTAGTCGTAGTAGTAGTAGTAGTAGTAGTACTACTACTACTACTACTACTACTACTACTACTAGTAGGAGTGGTAGTAGTAGGAGGAGAAGTAGGAGTAGGACCAGTAGGAGCAGGAGCAGGAGCAGGAGTAGCTGTAGCTGTAGCTGTAACTGTAGCAGTAGCTGTAGCTGTAGCAGTAGCAGCAGTCGTAGTGGTGTTGGTATTGGTATTGGTGTTGGTGTTGGTCTTTTTCTGGGTGAGTGTGTGTGTGTGTGTGTGTGTGTGTGCGTGTGTGTGTTTGTGTGTGTCTGTGTCACTCCGTGTGTTGTTTTGAATTGGGACCCGTCGTGATCCCGATGTTGACCCGGTTGCATATTCGTGGTCTGAAGTCGCACACTTCAGAATCTGGAGTCCTTGAATTCGTGCACATGCAGGCACGCCCTCCAGGAACGCAGAAAGGCCATCGCCACAAGCACTTAGAAGCAAAGGGTTATGGCATCCATTTCCAAGGTATTGCAGGTTGTTTTTGCATGCTGAAGCTCTGTTGCGAATATGAGTGTGCCTGATGTATCCGGTGGATAGTACTTTCCGTAGGGAGTAGCCGTAGTTGCTTGGCCTAGATCCCCAGATGATCTAGATTTCCGTGCGCATGTAACGTCTGGAGGTCATAGAGTCATAGCAGTAGTAAGTGTGCTGTAAAGGAGCTCAGTCATAGCAGTCGGAGGGGTCGTCATCACGATGTTGTCGCAGTGCTTATACTGTTGACTGATCCTGCCCATGCAGAATAGTATAGGCGCCTTAATGATTAGAATAGGGTTTTGGGGGTTCCTTATTGTTGTTATAGTATAATATACCCCAAGACCTTATTCTAATTATTAAGGCCCCTACAGTAGCATTGTATTGCGAAGCACGAGGCCAGGCAACAAAACCCTATAGGGCCCGGGCTTCATGTTCCCGAGTTGCCTAGACCCCACGCCCAAGACCTGTGGGGTTTCCGTTTGATGTTTTCTGTACATAGTTGCAGAGAGCGATCGTGGTTCAGAAGTCGTGCAGAGTTCACTTTTTGTTTGGATGCAGCAGAGTTAAGCTTGCCTTGGCGATTTTGGTTTCAGGGTGGTCCATATTTCGGGTCGTTGCAAGGCACTTTACGGCAGGCATGCTAGTCATCGCATCACAGCAGTACTTGCGCAACTCTTCGTCAGCTTAAATGTGTGTCACGATCTGCATGTTGATCTCGGACTCCCCTCGTCACACCAGCGGACTTGGCACTGGGGTTTAGGAGTTTAGGATGCGATGCTGGCTTCCATTCCGACTAAAAGTTCGGTCTTCTTGCCGTCCAGAGAAGGTTTGCCACACCACAGGGGACATAATGATTAGAATCGACATTTGGCGGCTATATTGAGTTGAACTATGGTAATCTTATAATGGGGCAAACCACTGGGGGGTACGTTTTCTAATCCCTCAGAACTCTACATCACTGCAAGAAGCAGGCTCCAGGTACACTCCTGCTGCATGATTGCGCCCGCAAGTTGCAAACCCGAATACGACGAATCAGTGTAAACCCAGGGTAGCTTCCGGACGGGCACTTAACCCTTAACCCCCAAACCCCATACCCCAAACCGACCCCCAAACCCTAAACCTACAAACCCTATAGACCCTTAACCCCCACTATGCTTCCAGGCCCCGTCTACAACATCGGGGACCAGGTAGAGTACTTTGGCGCAAGCCAGAGCCGCTGGATCTCAGCGAAGGCGGGGCTTGAGTGACTAGCTGAAAGAAAGGAGGTATGATAGGGACCTTAATAATTATAAAAGGGGTTATGGGTGCCTGCTTAATAATAGTTGCCTATACTATTTTGGGGGCTCCTTCTTGTAATTATAGTACCATATATGGGCCCCAAGACCCTATTCTGATTCTTAAGGCCTTTGCATTACATCAGCCAGCCGGAAACGGGCCTACTTTCTTGTTCTTGATGTCAAGTGGCAGAGATATGGCCAAACTACTCGGAGGAGTACAGGCGTCCTTTCCGAGCTAGCCACCAAATCCTAGAAGCAAGCACCCAATGCACCGGCACGTCTACAGGTCGGTGCAGGTACTACATTAATGGAGTTATCGTATACTGTACCCCAAAATCCCAAAACCCTATTCTAATTATTACAAAGGCCCCTTTTAGTACTACTTTGATTGATCAGTCAAGTGCATGCATCAACAGATGCGGCGGAATGATGACTGTCCGATATGGCTTTGCTGGGTTCCCGCAGACTCTACTTTCTCATACCTTACCAGGGAATCGAGGTTGCCGAGCTGTCGTGTGAACACCCGATAATTCTCCATAGAAGCACGGGAACCCACACGGACATGTTTGCAGCATCTCCCCTACAAGTGGTATCGCCCGCCTGCCCGTCCGCAAGGACCTGCTTCATAAGTTCAAACTTTTCAAAACATCTTCAACTCTTCCTGCAGACTGACTGAAGACAGCGAGACCATGCTTCTGATATATCGCATGGTTCAGTGGAGATATGTCAAGATGCATTCTCAGTTCTCCAGCCTTGCCTCACACTAGGCATGCCGAAGGATGAATGGAGACACTTGCAGACTGCGCTTCTTTAAACAGCCAACATGCCTCAGCAACAGGTGCTATCCATGACACCGGCTGGGAACTACAACCTAGATGTGAAGCAGGAGCACCGAGAAATGCGACCCTTGCTGCTCTGATCGCTTGATCGTTGCGTCAGCTCAACCGCGTTTAAAACATACGACTCTTCGAAATGCATACACCTAAATTTCTGTTGCAAGCATGTACCCTGTGGCGCCCTGATGCGAAGCTCTGCTGCGTGGGTTTGTGGCTTCGGCTTTGAGTTTGCGGAGTAATCAAGGGTCGGTTTCAAGCATTTGCAGGGCCGACTTCTCATCTTTTATTTGGGTTGCCACTTCAGGTGGGTACATCCACATCCTTACTGTTGGTGGACAAAATCCTGCATTACCCATTATAATGAATATACCATAGTTCCCATAGTTTAGAGTCCATGGGGTCATGCAGGATTTTGTCCATTAACAGCATGGGAGTCCCTATGATTGCCGGCTATAGGAACCACAACTGTCTGGTTCTTAGCAGGGAATGGGGGAATGGGTTATTGGGACTACTATAAAAACCTCAAGGGATTATCATAGGGATCCATTCCCCCATTCCCCGCTAAGAACCAGGGAGACTAATGTTAATGGACAAAATCCTGCATGACCCTAAGGACTCTAAACTATGGGAACTATGGTGTATATATATATATATATATATATATACCTAGACAATCCTTCGGCGTTTATTTTCGCCGCCAAGCAAAACGGCGTTTATTTTAGGCGCCAGATCCCAGAACCGCCGACAATAAACAGAAACGCCGACACGAAAACAAAAGCGCCGGCAACGACATTAGACTTGTAATGGTTACAGCAAAAACGGATACACTCCGAACATCAACCCCTTCAAGCCCAACCGAAAAGCTGAAGCCCTGAAACCCTGAAAGGTTTGAGGGCTGGGATGGTCGATGTTCGAGCATTGGAGAGTGGTTCAAGAGATTTTGGGTTCAAGCTGGGCGATGTTCGCAAAGTACAGATGCAGTCGGGGATTCTGAAGGTCTAAGGTTTTAGGGTTTAGGAGCTTGGGGTTTAGGGTTTGGGGTCTCTGAGTTTTGAAGGTTCGAGGCATCCTGGCTCAGAGCCCGCTTTCCTTCAAAGAATCCCGAACCCCTGAACTTAAAGCACCCTCAAAGGCCCTCAAACCCCCACAAGGCCCAAGAGCCCGGCAGTCCACACCTCGAAGTGTTCCGTCACAGAACCCTGAACCTTAAGCACCCCTAAACCCCAACCCTCCGGCGCCATCCTTCATTTTGGCGGCCATCCCGTGCCGAGCTGCTGGAGTCCGAGCGACAGCCCTGCTGCTCCTTGGGCATCCTGTATCTGCAGTATTAAGACCCTAAACTTAGGCCTTAAACCTGATCTAACTATATAGTATTTGTAGGGGATGCTATACTTCAAGCCCGTGGAACACTTCAGAGCCGCAGCTTTCGGGAGGATCGGACTTGTCGGTGCCTCCTAATGAGGGCCGCCTTTTTCAGGAAGTGTCTCTGCAGCACCCTCTTGCTGATAGTCGTCACCGAAACTTTGACCGATAGAGCACAGACTCGGCCGATGAGGTCCTCTCCTTGCTCACACCCCCACATGATGGGGTTCGGGATGAGCTTTGCATTGGTCAGCAATGCTGTTCGGATCTCATAGGCCACATGATGGATGCCGTGGAATTTGGGTTTCAGTGCAAAAAACGGCATCTTCATCGACAAAGCATGCTGAGCCAGATGCTGGTAGCCCGACAGTACGGACATCAATCTCAAATAGAGATTTTGGGCACATGCCCTCCTCAGCCACAGACCATGTTTGTACATCAAAGCGAAGGCCTTCTGGGACTCCAGGATCGTCTTCTTCAGCAGACGAAACAAAACAGCATGCGTGGCCGGCAAGTTGGGTCTTCTCAGCAGGATCTTCACATAGAAGCTGAGATATTCCAACAAAAGCATTGTATCTGAACCCTTGGTGTTCGCCCAGGCGAAATCGGTGAGCCGCTTGAGATTGAAGAGTGGCTTGGAAAAGTATCGAACTGCAGCCGTTTTTCCGGCAGCCAGTCGCCACAGTTTGAAATGACTGTAGCAACGATTGAGCCTCGAGACGATGTTTGCATCGTCGGTGCCATTGGGATCATCGTAATATCCAAGGCGGGCCAAAAAAACCAGGGAGCCACAAATATCACGTCCAAGGCCAACCTTGAAAAGATGAAACATGTCATACTTGAGAACTCTTTCCGGTGCATCGTTGTCGTGTGGAACTGAGCACATACCAGGTGTTGAGTCCCAAGGTCGCTCCTGATAAAGCGTCGAAGCCCAGGATGGCTCGTGAGCCAGCTCGTCGAAAGGAATGGCGGCACTTGTACCCGCCATGCAATGTGCACAGACACCGTTGAAGTTCACAGGGCCCAAACGAGCATAGTATCTGTTGAGATAGGCGATTTTTTCAGCGATTTGTTTCATATCGCCCTTGATCCCAACAAGGCAAGCCGTGTAAACCTTCCCACCAACCTCCAGGCCCGAAGAAAAAAGCAGCGAGAGCTCGTCAGCAACCTGCTGGGTCAGCTGCTCCAAAACTTCTGGATGGTGTTTGTAAACCCAATCTGGGAGGCCGAAAAGCACATGTCTGGTGAGGTAGGAGTGGCCTTTATTTGTATGGGTTTGCTTGAGGGCGGCCTCCTCCATCGGCGTGTACGGGCCGGCTGCTTGCTGGCCCGGAACAAACTGCTGCGGTGCCTTCTTCACATCCTCTTCGCAAGTGCAAGAAAAGTCCTCGGCCACGTCCCACAAACCTATCGGTGACTCGATGGAGGCCACCACGAAGTTGCCTCGCTTCGGGCCTTTGCCTTCATCTGAATAAAAAGCCAATGGAATCGTGGTCCCGAGGTCCAGCCCTCGATCGAACACCGGATGGGTGCTGTGAGTCTGCCTGTAAGCCATCCAGTAGGCCTGCAGTTGGAACTCCAAAGACTCGTTGCCCCCAGCGAGCAATGAGCGATTGCGTTTCAAGAGATACAGCAACCAGTCTTGCACTTTTATAAATGCAGTCTCAGCTTTCTCTCTGTCCTCCAGCACGAAGGTCTTTTCCGTTATTGGCACAGGCAAAGATAAACCCCAGCGTTTAAAGAAAGTGTGGCAATCTCTCTCCTCGTTCGGGGCCTGTCTCCGTTTCTCCTCCGGCTCGTTGGGGTGCTGCATTTGTCGGAGACACCGCTTGGTGTCCTTGGCAGTGGCCTCGGCAGATTAGTTTTCTTCGACAGCGATTAAAACAAAACAAACACAATCTTTAGGTTCGTTCTGGCGGGCTTGGAGTGTAAAGAACTAGAATAGGGGGATGATACCATAAAACCCTAAGCTCTAAACCCTTAGCCGGGGACCTGTTGACCGAAGCGGATCCAACTGGTCTTGGGGCCCACTGGCTGCATTTGGGGTTGCTTTAGAGATTGGGTTTGGTTGGGGATTTTCGCTTCGTGTGCCTGGCTTCGAGCTACTGATCCTCAACCCAGGGCCCAAATCCTATACCCCAGAATCCCTCAGAAGCCCTTTGGCTAGCAAGAGACCACAAGGTCGGGACTTAGGTGGTTTCCTTGAAGGGTAGAAGTTTGGTATGTTGTATTTGGGATTGTCGAGATCAGGGTTTTAAGAGTTTACGGCCAAGGGTTCTTTGGTGCGGGCTTTCAGAGGTCTTGGCTTTTGCTTTTGAAAGTACGGACTCTGTCTTTACATTACACAATATATTGAACCGAGGGCGGGATGTAGAAACTTCAAAGCTAAATTACTCTTTGGGGTTTCGGGCCTCGAGGGCTTGCGGCTTTGGGCTTTGGGCATGGGTTTCAGGCCTTTAGGCTTTGGGGCTTCGAGGCTTGGGCCGCTGCGAACATGGTCTGTTGTTTCTCCTGATATGCAACTTGCTTGGTGTAGGAAACCCCAAACGTAATCATTATCATTTGGGTTTCGGGTCTATAGGCCTCAGGGATTTGGGGTCCGGGTTTCAAGGTTGGTATTCTTGGACACACAGCAGCCAAGCATGTGTCTACAAGGAAGAATGGATCTGCCTAAACCCTAAAGCTACCTAGAGTCTCCATTGTAGTTCCTTTTTTTGGTTAACCAGTTTTAGGGTTAGGATCCTATAGTAGAGATTTTGGTTAACCAAAAAAGGAACTACAATGGAGACTATAGGTAAAGCCTAAACCTTTAAAACCTAAACCCCCAAGCCCTACATCCTAGCTTCGCCGACCCTACCTGATCCGAGGACCGAGCACCCTCACCCAGCATTTCAGCATATTGAGCTGCTCGGCCGAAGTTGCCGGCAGTCTCATCACCGGAACCTGGCGTGATATAGAGGATAGGATTCGTGTTGGGGTTTGAATTCGGATGTCGGCGTAGTTTTTAAGGTCGGGCCTGTAGGCCATACGGCCGGTTTAGGGCTTCAGGGGTTTTGGGCTTCAGGGCTTTAAGGCTTTAGGGGTTTTGGTTTTGTGTTTTATGGCTTTAGGGGTTTGGGCCTTTAGTAGGGGTTTCGGGCTTTGGGGCTTTGGGGCTTTAGGGGTTTTGGGCTTTAGGGCTTCAGGGGTTTTGGGCTTTAGGGCTTTAGGGCTTTAGGGGTTTGGGTTTTGTGTTTTATGGCTTTAGGGGTTTGGGCCTTTAGGGGTTTTGGGCTTTAGGGCTTTCGGGGTTTTGGGCTTCAGGGCTTTAGGGGTTTTGAGCTTTAGGCCGTCGGGGCTTTAGGGATTTTGGGCTTTACGGTTTTCGGTGTTTTGGGCTTTAGAGGTTTAGGGGATTGGGCTTTTCGGTGTTTTGGGCTTTAAGGTTTTAGGGCTTCAGGGGTTTTGGGATTCAGGGCTTTGGGGGTTTTGGGCTTTCGGCGCTCACACTCGGACAATGGGCTTTACTGTTTTAGGGCTTCAGCATTCAGGGGTTTTGGGCTTTAGGGCTTCTGGGGTTTCGGGCTTGAGGGGTTATGAGCTTTACGGGCCTGTGGGTCTTTAACTTTAAAGCCGTTGCTGCGGGTTTCTCGAGCGGGGTATGGCATTGGAGGCTTCAGACTCGAGCAACCTTTTGGGCTCGTGCGGGCCATGCACGACGGGCCTTTGGCCCAGCGGCTTGTCCAAGCCACTCTTTCATAGAGCTCAGTGCAACTCAGCAAGCTTTTGTTGGAGCTATTGCCGCATAGCTTAGAAGGGTTGAGGGTGTAGGGCTTAGGGCATTAATACCATCACCACGAAGTGCAAGCTGAGCTAACCTGGCACCCTACTTCTTGCCCCGTTTGGGCGGCTTCTGTTCATCCTCCTCATCATCATCATCACCTTTTCTCTTGGGTGCCGCCTTGCCCTTCGCTGCAGCCTGCTTTGGCTTTGCTTTCACTTTCGGCTCGGTCTTCGGGGTGCTTGCGGCGTTCGCCGGCATCCTTAATGCACAACAAGGAATGCTGCACATATTATTGAGTAGCACCGATGCAAGGCCACATGCAAACGAAGTCTTTAGGGGTCGAGGGGCTGAGGGCTTAGGGTTTAGGGGTTAACGGTTCAGGGTTTAGTAGGGCTTAGGGTTTATGGGACAAGCGGCTTGATATTCTTGGAACGTTCGAAGATCATCTCAGCTTCGACGGCCCTTAGCATTGGTACAAATAAGGAAGGTTCGGGTTGAGCTCTTGCATGTTCTTCCAGCCACTCACCGACTCACCGAGTTGCCTCGTCTTGGCGATCTGGAACTGGGCTCGCATCTTCTTCTGGTCCCTTGGCGGGATTAGTGGGTTGATGGCAGCTGACAAACATGCATACCCCAAAACCACATCCTGATCAACAACAAGCACACTAATCTGTTTGTCGAGGCTCTCTTTCGTGAACCCAACAGCAACCCCGTTGCTGTAGATCGTCGTGAGCTCGTCCTCCAGCTCGGTGAGCTTCTCCAGGATCGTTTTCAAGCTCTCCTTGTACCTTAGGTTTTGGGGTGGCACAGGAGGGCAGGTTGATGAATGTAGTCACACACGACAATTTGTCGAGCTGCTTGACCTGTGAACTCGAGAGAGGCATGTTTTTCTCCATGGACTCGAGTTTTTGGAGAACCGGCACGAGTTTCGAGCTCCGTTTCTGTAGACATGCAGTGACGAGCAGCAGCACCTCTTGAGGTCGTTTGCCAACCTCTGGGAACATCACTTTCTTCAGTATTCTGCTGGCCTCTTCTCCATTATCGCTGCTGTCCTCGTCGGACTCATCATCTCCTGGCTGCAAGTATTAGGGAGGGCTTCGGGTTTTAGGGTTTAAGGGAGCTAGTTAGAAGCTACCGGTTTGGTAGTACTGGGCTTCCTGGGGCTCACGAAACTCGCGAAATCCAATTCCCATACTTAAGAATCAGTAACTAATCACCCGAAGCCCCCAACCTAGTCTTCCAACCCAATACTCGATTGAAGCCTAAACCTAAACCCTTAACCCCTAACCCCTAGCCCCTAAACCCTAAACCCTAAAATCCTAAACCCTACAACCCTAAACCCTTGCTTCAAAGGGAATGTAAAGGCCCGGCGTGAGGCCATTGGGGTTGTGCTTCGCTTAAGGCCCGGCGTGAGGCTAGCGGGGTTGTGCTTCAAAGGGAATGTAACTGTAAAGGGCCGGCGTGAGGCTATTGGGGTTGTGCTTCTAACACGAGAGAACGGTTGCCGAAACTTGGATTGAAACCTAAACCTAACCCCTAAACCCAAAACCCTTAAAACCCTATAAGCCCTAAAACCCTAAACCTTACAACCTAAACCCTTTCTTCAAAGGGAATGTGAAGGCCCGGCGTGAAATAACACGATAGAACGATTGCCGAAACTTGGATTGAAGCCTAAACCTAAACCCTAAACCCTAACCCTTTTAAACCCTAAACCCCCAAAACCCTAAATCCAGGTCCAAGGGCCCAGCCACACAACGGGGTGTTGAAAAAGTACAAGCACTGCTTCGTGTATTGATAGTAGCACAAGCCTAGTAGTATTGGTAGTGCTCATCCAAAATGCAGTCGCAGCAACGGCGGCAGGAGCAGCAGCTTTAGCAGAAGCATTTGCAGCAGCATCAGCAGCATCACTAGCAGCGAGGGTAGTAGGACTAGTAGTGCTAGTAGTGCTAGTAGTAGTAGGAGTAGTAGTAGCAGCAGTAGTAGTAGTAGTAGTAGTAGTAGTACTAGTAGTAGCAGTAGTAGTAGTAGTAGTAGTAGTAGTACTAGTATATAGTAGTACTAGTAGTAGTAGTACTCGTAGTAGCAGCAGCAGCAGCAGGAGGAGGAGGAGGAGTAGTAGTAGTGGTGGTGGTGGTGGTGGTGGTGGTGGTGGTGGTGGTGGCGGGGGTGGTGGTGGTGGTGGTAGTAGTACTAGTAGTAGTAGTAGTAGTAGTGGTGGTGGTGGTGGTGGTAGTAGTAGTAGTAGTAGTAATAGTAGTAGTAGTAGTGATAGTAATAGGCAGGGCTTAGGGTTTAGGGTTGTGCGGGGCACTGATAACCCCAGGAAAGCCTCCGGCCGCTGCATTCTCGTCCTCGCCCTCGTGCGGGAACTCCTTCATGGCCTCCTCTGGATCCTGGCCGTCTCCCTGATCCTCACCTTCGAGAATCTCGGCCACAGTGTGCCTCTTGGTTTTCCTGGGCAAGGAAGCTAGGACAGAAGTTCGGGGCTACACACACAAAAAAAGACTCCACACATAATCTAAAACCATGGCACTTGTTGGAGCCCTTGACCCTCACAGCCACCCAATACATCCACTCATCGCAGTATTCAGACTTCCTCTGCAACAGAGCAGCAGCAAAGAAGTTCGCACGATGAGCCTATGTGCAGTGAATCGAAACACTAAAAGTAGAACCAATCTCCTCTTCCATCCGGGCCGTTTCTCACAGCTTCTCTTGGCGCCCTTGATCTTCTTCCTCGGCTAAGGAAGAAGGTAGTGATAGGGTTTTGACTTTAGGCTTTAGGGGCTCAGGGGTTTAGGGTTGTAGGGTTTAGGGTAGTAGGGTTTAGGTATGATCATCTAAGACACTCGCTCCAGCCTTTCTCTTCCATTTCCTGTTCTGTCAGGAATTCGAACTCGGTTTCCACCGATTTCTCGTTGATCTCTTCGTACTTTCGGTTGATTCTTTTCGAGAACAGCACCTGGCTGCTTAGTGGGAGATTAGCAGGGAAAGTATGATATTGTATCGACAAGGTACCATAAACGAGACAGGCAAACCGGGTCGCAACCACACTTCTCGAAGCTCCGGTAGACTTGCTCCCTAGTTTCGATGTTCTTGTAAGTGTTGATAACATCCTGTGGTATCTTGCATGATCCATCCTCCCTTGGCGTACACAACCGGGCCAGCCGTTTCATCAGGGTGGCTTTGCTCACCTGTGCGGGAGGGGCGATGGCCTGATCCTCCTCTCCTAGACAATACTCATCATCCTCCTTCGTCTGGCCTGGCTTGGCTTTGCTGCTGGGAAGGAGTCGTTTGGGCTGGGCTTTGGCTTTTGCCTGCTGATCCTGGCCAGTTGTGGCTTGCTCCCGGGTCTTGGTTTCACTGGGCACAAGGGACTGGCTCTGGGCGGCCTGGCTTTCTGCGGGTTTTTTGCTCTCAAGGGACTGGCTCTGGGCGGCCTGGCTTTCTGCGGGCTTTTTGCTTTCAAAGGACTGGCTCTGGCTGGCCTGGCTTTCTGCGGGCTTTTTGCTTTCAAGGGACTGGCTCTGGCTGGCCTGGCTTTCTTCAGGCTTCTTGATTTGAACAGGCTGGCCGGTCTGGCTTTGTGGCTGCTGGGTCTCGGGGGCCGAGTCCTGCACTGTGTCAGGGAAGGTTTGGCGGACAGGCGAAGTTTGCTCGCTTGGGGTGTCAGGCGGTGGCAAAGAGGGGAACTGCTGCTGGGAACCCGTCTGGGAGGAGTGCCAGGAGGTGCCACGTGACGGACCATCCTGTGCCGAAAAACAACCAACACTTTATTCAGCTCAATAACAAGACACACTGATACAAGCAGGTCCTTCTTGCTGGCCGGCTCCAAGCCCTGGGCCTTCATCTGATCCTGGGATCGGTTACAATGGGGGCCCATCAAGGGAAGAAGCCTTCGTGAATGCATGCCACACATTTGGTTCTATTCAATCCAGAGCACCAAAAGGGCCTGTCTCTGGGCCAAAAGGCTTTCCATTTCGGGATCTCCCTCCATGGCTCAAACAGCAGAGCTGCAGGCCCTATGTTGGGCCACAAAAGCCTGCACAACACAGGTCACAGCTGATGCTCTGCTGGGGTGAGGGACCCATCCCGGCTATTCCCGCCGCTTGGACGGGCACGGACGCTACTTGGACGGGCATTCCCGCCGGCAGCCGGCAGCCCAAAATGTAGGAAAACCCGACCAAACCCCCCAAAACCAGTGGTAGGGCCTGCAAAACTCCTACCAAACCCCCAAAACCAGTGGTAGGGCCTGCAAAACTCCGACCAAACCCCTAAAACCAGTGGTAGGGCCTGCAAAACTCCGACCAAAGTCCCAAAACCAGTGCTGGGGCCTGGACACCTCCGACCAAACACCGAAAACCCGTAGCGGGGCCTGCTTCCCCGATGTTCATGCTGCTCGCTCGGCCCCCTTTCTCTGTCACTGTCTGTCATTTCATCACTTTGCCTTCTCTCTCTCTCTCTCTCTCTCTCTATCCCTCCCTTTTCCCTAACACTGTCTGAGTGCCTAAACAATTACTTGTCAACACAGTCATGCAGTGTCTGCAAAATAGCATCTTCTTTTGCGGCACACCAGGCAAGCTCCGAACCTCAATCCATTTCCTCCAAGAACTTGCGTGCAGCAGCTTCTGCCCTATGCAAGCATGTCGGCTTGTGCTCTCCAGGTCTGTCTTTGCAAACTGAGCAGCAGTGGATATGTGGAGGAAAAACCTTACGATCACACGTCATGCAGTCTCGAATCGGCTCCAGTGCAACGATAGCAGCATTCATCCTCGAGCATTTCTTGCTATGACGTTCGTTCCTTCGACAGCCACGACAGCAGTAGCGATGCAGCCCATCCACCAACCGTGCACAGCCTTCTTTCGAGCAGACTCTTTGATCGTGGTTTCCATTGGATCCGACTGCTAGGGCCGCCATACTAAGTGCTGAATAGGACTGCACCTAGAATGGAATACCAAGCTCGCACCTAGAATGGAAAACCAAGCTAGCTCTTTGACAAACAGACACTGATCTTTGGATCTGACAGGCAAAGCGTGGCGACTTCGGAGCCCGACTTGCAGCTTCAGTCGGCCAAGGGATTTAGGATTAAGGGTTTCAGGTGCTTCATAAAGACATAGAGCAAAAGAGTTCGCAGGATTGTATTTGGCTGAAAGGCCTTCGTGCTTAGGGTATGGGGTTGGGCTGGAAGGCTTTCGGGTTTAGGGTTTTAGGGGCTTTAAGGCTATTGGACTTCCAAGCGTGGGCTTTGGGAGTTGTGCGAAGACTTGGCAGTTTCTGGCTTCACATTCACAGGCGGTATAAGTCACTTTCATGGATTATAGGTTTAGGATCTGTGGCTTAGGTTTTGGGTGGCTTATAAAGCCGAAACACCGAAAACCCAAAATCCTTTGGGTGTGGCGTAGACAACTTGAATCCTTCAGGCTGCAGAGACTGGAGATTAAGAAGCATAGGGTCGGGGATCACAGATAAAGCTTAAACCACATAAACCCGCAACGTCCTGAAATCCCAAAATATGTATTTGTTCTTTGGGGGGGGGGCGAATAATGTAGGGGCCTTTAAAGGGTTCCTTCAAAAGGGTCCTATAAGGGCTACTACTATAAGGGTTACTATAAGGGGGCCTTAAGAATCAGAATAGGGTTTGGGCGGTTCCTTATTACAATAGGCTTCGTGTCCTTCAGAAGACAGGGCTACAACTTCAACCTCGAAACCTGAAGCCCTCTAGATTCTATGCAGCAGAACCCAAGGAGTTTCGGGTTGGGGCCTTCGACAACCATCACGGAACACCCCCCTTCTAAATCTCAAGTCGCACAAAGATAGAGGCTAATGCAATGCCCGAACCCCAAATCCATTTAAGGTTTTGTGTTTTAGGGTTCAGGCTTATAGGGTTTAGAGAATGCTAGATCGAAGCGAGCTACCAAAGTCCGTCCAAAGCCATGCCAGAATCTGAAGCAGCAAGCCCCACGAACCTCAAGGCCCGCCACGGAAACCCCAAACACCTGAAACCCTAAAGTAACACGTGAAACCCTAAAGTAACACCTGAAACCCTAAAGTAACCTAAGCCTTCCCACTCGAAACCATCTCAGGTTCCAAACATGGCGGCCGACTTTCTTCCTCGGCAAGGCCGCACTGATGGTATGCCCAGCAAGTGCTCATCGTACCTGGCGGCGTGGAAGGACAGCATCTTATCTTCAATATCTATGCAGAGACTTGGCTTCTACTATCAAGCATCAATCAGTGCATTCGCTGCTCATGAAGACTCGCTCAACTTTTCTTGTTGCCACGAACATACTGCATCTCTCGCCATGACTCATGCTTCCTCTAAAGGGCAGTGTTTGGCGACCCAGCAAGCATAACTGGTGCGTGCAGGTAGTCACTCCTGAACAATAACTGAAGCACAGCCCACACTCGCCCCTGGAAAGCAGACACCGGTCAGGGGATCCGAGTTAATCCCAGAGAGTTGCACTGAAGCAGTTTCACGAAATCAGGCCCAAGTCTATGCTATGACTCAGGATCACTCAAAAAGGCGGCCGTCGGATCATACCACGTAGCCTCGGATAAGGTGTTCATTGAAGCTTGCAGGCTTTAATTACAATTGAAACAGCTGACTGTTCTAGACGGGTGGCTTTAGTTCCCTCAGTCTTCCACAGCACCGTTTGCTCTCTGCATCTCCAACCAGGTGAAAGCAACCTCCTGTGCCTTCGACCTGAAGTACGGCTGCTCCTCCTGGGTGATGATGGGCCGGCAGTGCTTCCAGAACAGATCCTGCAAGCAGAACATAAATCAGTTCTGGCTTTAGAGAGCTTAGGCCTTAGGGGTGTTAGGGTTTGGAAAGGTCTAGGGCTTGATGGTTTGAGGCATCGAGGGTTTAGGAGGGTTGTGGGCTTCAAGTGTGATCAAGGCTTTAGCCAGGAGTGCTTGGAGAAGCTTTAGAATCAATCGAGATTCAAGGCTTCGGGGCTTTAGGGGTTTTGGGCTTTAGGGGTTTCGGGGTTTCGGGCTTTAGGGGTTTTGGGCTTTAGGGCCTTTAGGGTTTTAGGGGGTGGGGCTGTAGGGTTCAAGGCTTTTCGGGTTTAGGTGGGATTAGATTTCGGCTGGCAATCCTCGAACTTCGTAGGGAAACGGAAGTGTGGTCGAAGGATTGCATTGAAGGCGTCCCGGATGGACGTCCAGAGGCACTTGGCGTCCCCCTCGTTTGGCGGCTCGAACCTTCTGGCGAAAGTCTTTTTCAAATCTGGCTTCGGCTTGCTGTCCTTCTTAGCAGGCTTCGGCTCTGGCTCGTCGTCACCATCCGGCTTGCCCTTCTTAGAAGGCTTCGGCTTTGGCTCGTCGTCACCATCCCGCTTGCCCTTCTTAGCAACCTTCGGCTTTGGCTCCTCGTCGTCACCATCCGGCTTGCCTCTCTTGGCAGGCTTCGGCTTTGGCTCATCGTCACCATCCGGCTTGCCCTTCTTGGCAGGCTTCGTCTTTGGCTCGTCGTCACCGTTCGGCTTGCCCTTCTTGGCAGGCTTCGGCTTGGGCTCCTCGTCGTCACCGTTCGGCTTGCCCTTCTTGGCAGGCTTCGGCTTTGGCTCCTCGTCGTCACCCTTCCTGGCTCTCTTGGCAGGCTTCGGCTTTGGCTCCTCGTCGTCACCCGTCTTGGCAGGCTTCGACTTTGGCTCGTCGTCGTCGCCCTTCTCCAAAGGCTTGGCCCGGGCTTTGGCTTTCCCCTTCGGCCAGCCCTTCTTGCCACCGTTTTTTTTCGCCGCCGATTTGGCGGCAGGCCGCTTCTTCACGACCGGCTCGGGGTCTTCGGGGTCGTCCTCCTCACACTGCTCGGCTGCCTGCTTTGCCTGCTCCCTTTCTCGCATCTGCTCTTGCCGTCTCGTCTGAACCTAGCGAGCTCAGAGAGTGTGGCCGATTTAAGGTTCAGCAGTTATTCAGGGGTTAAGGGTTAGGGTTTTGGGGTTTAGGGTTTGGGTTATAGGCTGTGGTAGCTGTTGCGGGCTTAGTAGTCCACTACTAACTAGTAGAAGCACTAGTCACTAGTACTAGTACTAGTACTAGTACTAGTACTAGTACTAGTACTAGTACTAGTACTAATAGTAGTAGTAGTAGTAGTAGTAGTAGTAGTAGTAGTAGTAGTAGTAGTAGTAGTAGTAGTAGTAGTAGTAGTAGTCGTAGTAGTAGTAGTAGTCCTAGTAGTAGTGGTAGTAGTAGTGGTAGTGGTAGTGGTAGTGGTAGTGGTAGTGGTAGTGGTAGTGGTAGTGGTAGTGGTAGTGGTAGTGGTAGTGGTAGTGGTAGTAGTAGTAGTACTACTACTACTACTACTACTACTACTACTACTACTACTACTACTACTACTACTACTACTACTACTACTACTACTACTAGTACTACTACTAGTAACTAGTACTAATACGACTCTCGTTCTGTGTACCGAGTGCTGCTTGGCTAAGTTTTTTAGGACATATACAGAAACAGCTCAACCTGCCATTCGCCCAGAATCTCAAAAGTTCCAACCTGATGCGAGCCTACAGAATCCTCACGGAGCCCCAGAAGCTAAGGAGTCTCTGCGTGGAAGATTTGCCTTTGGAGATGCTCGGGAAAGTGAAGCTTTGGGTCTTGGCTTTATTTGGCTGGAATCCTAAAACCACAGCTTCCTAAATCCCCAATCCTGAACCCCAAATTCCCCGCGTGAGCCAAGACTCTGAAAGCCTGCAAGAACTTGGGATTTGAGGGGTCTGGGTTTTGGGTTTAGGGCTTCCAGGTATTTATTTAGTGCGATGAAAAGCATTTAGGATTTGGTGGCTTCGGGGTTTGGGATAGTACTTTGTGCGAGGAAAGGCTGAAGCCTGAAGCCCAAAGTACCATGAAAGACTGAAGCCTGAAGTCCAAACTAGGATTAGCCCCACCTGGCAAGCCAACAGATCAGGAGATCCTGGCTCGGAGCCACTCCGGATAGCCAGCGACACAGACTCTGGGCATGGACTTCCTGGGTGTACCTTGCCTGCATCCTTCAAGACTCCAGGGGCAACTGCTGCCTGTGTTGGGCTTGCTAGATCCTCGGAAACTTCAGGGGCAACTGCTGCCTGTGTTGGGCTTGCTAGATCGTTGGAAACTTCAGCGGCAACTGCTGCCTGTGTTGGGTCTGCTAGATCCTTGGAAACTTCAGCGGCAACTGCTGCCTGTGTTGGGTCTGCTAGATCCTTGGAAACTTCAGCGGCAACTGCAGGATGTGTTGGGTCTGCTAGATCCTCGGAAACTTCAGGGGCAGTTGTTGGGACCTGCACCGGATCCTCCGACAATGCCGGGAGCTCCGAAGCCGCCCTTGCTGGGGTGGCCACGGGTACATGGCCTGGAGCCACATCTTTTGAAGAAAGGGCCCCAAGGGATAGATTACTCGCAGCACCCTGCCGAACATATTCACCCACAGCTTCCGAGGCAGCTGGAGGATCACTGAAACGATCCTGCTCATGCACATCATTTAGCCGCTCTGGCCAAACGATGGTCCGCTGGCTGTCCATGTGCTGCAGACCTGGGATACTGTTCGGGCTTGGGGCTTCAGGGTTTAGGGGCTTAAGGTTTGCGGGCTGTTGGGTTTCGGGGCTTCAGGCCGTGGGGCTTCAAAGGGTTTAAGGACTGGGGGTCGTCGGTGTTGGTGGCTAGAATAAGATTAAACTGAGGTGCTGTGCCACCGTTCGATTGCCCTCTGTCCAGACAAAGCTGCTCGTCGATGGGCGATTTGCTGCCTCGGCTGCTCAGCTTGAGATACAACACTAGTGCTTTCATTATTGATGTGTTCGAACGAGCACCCTTCGTTTGAAGCAAGATGCTCCAGCTCAGCCAACCGTCTCACCAGATCTGTGTCTGTGCCGCCCTCGCCTTCATCGCGATCAAGCAAACCTGCTTGATAAGGCACCGGTCCTTCATCACCCAGCTCATAAGCCACCGTACCCACATAGGCCGAAGGTGGTTGTGGGGATCCCGGACAAAGCCCCATATCCTCGGCTAGGTAATCATCAACCTCAGCTGCCTGCGAATCGTCCTCAACCTCATCCTCGGTCAACTGTAGCTCCTCTTCCTCCTCCTCCTCCTGGCCTTCCTTCTCACACTCATCATCACCCGGCTCGTCCTCGGCCTCAAGCAAGGTCCTGCGGCTGCGTAGCTTCGCCGGCCAGCTCTTGGACACCTCGTCGAAGATCGCCTTGAGGCGGTGGTCCTCAAATGATGCTTAGGCATTCTAGATATCGTTGAATGTGCAAACCCAAGACCAGAAGCTAGGATGAGTAGAGGGGCCTTTCTCACAGATCCGTCATGTCTGCGAAGGATGTAGCTCACGAACATTTTCAAGCTGTGGCTGGTGCAGTGAACCAACCCCTTCTTCGGGGCGACCTCGATCTCTTCGAAGAATCGTTTGACCTTATCATGATCATTAAGACAAACAATCGTAACCAAGCAGGAACAAACATGAGTTGCCTGCCGTACTGCAATGTTAAAACTGTATCGTGCTACCGAGTAGCTTGCTGCTTCAGGCTTTGCACGGGCACGGTCTTGGGCTCATGCTTTGGGCAATAGATTTCAAGCAAAGGCAAGATCACCTTCCAGTTGAGCATCAAAGACCTCCGGTTTATGAGCCCAACCTTGGAGGGATGTTCCCAATCCAAAAGGCTGCCCTTCTTCCTGCTGTATTTGCGAAGCTGACGATTCTCCTCCCAGGCCTCCCAAAGCCCTGTCAAGTTCGCCTCCCTTTTCGCTTTGATCACCTTGCGAGGCGGAGTCTGCGGCACGAGGATGTCGGCCATACTGAAGTATGGAAGAGAGAAAAAGCGCTCCGGGAAGTCTCTTATGCAAGAAGCCGCAGGATTTTATGCAATAAGTCGCAGGATTTGGGTTATGTGACATGTGCTTTGGAAGCCTAAGCAACTCAAGTCCACAAAGTCTCCGGATCCGGCCAAAAGCTTCAGAAGCACAGCATAGCTTTCAATCCATGCATGCACCACTGAAGCACTGAAAGCACACATCTGAGCAACACGAGGGGGCACTTCAGTGGTCCTCAGGCCACCAGCCAGAACCTGCACCAAATCGCTCCAGCGAACACAAAGGAAGATTTGCGGCGGCGTGGGATTTTTTAGGGGTTAAGGGTTTGGGGAACAGCGGTTTAAGAGCCTTATCGTCGTTCTGCAGAAAGTCGGCGGCACCCACCAGAAGCCACCGGGCCTCAGGCGACAACCCACTCAGGGGTCAAGGGTTTGGCGAATTGCGATTGAGAAGCCTTATCGTCGTTCTGCAGCAAGTCGAAACCACCAGAAGCCACCCCGGCCTCAGGCGATAACCCACTCAAAGGTTCAGGGTTTTGGCAATTGCTATTGAGCAACCTTATCGTCGTTCGTTCTGCAGCAAGTCGAGAAACCATCCACCAGAAGCCACCCGGGCCTCAGGACAATAACCCACTCGGAGGCTAAGGGTTTTGGGAGTTGCGATTGAGAAGCCTTATCGTCGTTGTGCAGCAAGTCGAAACCATCCAGCAGAAGCCACCCCGGCCTCAGGCGATAACCCACTCAAAGGTTAAGGGTTTTGGGAAATGCGGTTGACGAGCCTTATCGTGGTTTTGCAGCAAGTCGAAGCTATCCACCAGAAGCCACCGGGGCCTCAGGCGAAAACCCACTCTTTTGAGAAAGAGGGATTTAGAGAAAAAGAAAGGGAGGAAGATTGAGAGAACGATGCAAGATATATGCTCAGTGTTGGACCATGCGGAGCCGAAGCATGTCAAACCTGCGAAGGCAACGATCGAAAGAATTATAGGGCTATGGACCAAACTCAGTCTTCGCCCAAAGTTCGAAGTCTTTTTCAAACTCGAGCGGATGCGGTGTTCCTGTCCATGATCTAAATGGACTGCTCTCCCACATCCTTCTTGGGCGCTGTCTCCTTCTCGGGTGTCTGAGGTTGGGCATGGAGTCCTGGGCAAAATGAGTTTCATAATGATCATATACTTTAGCCAAAACTCCAAGCACAACTGCAGCCGGAGGCTCGAATCTTTTCCTGGGCCCCCCAAAACTGCTTCGCCAGCTCTCTGACCGACCCTCCATCTCGGTAGTTTTGAACTATGACCGAAATCTCGTCGGGACTCAAGATGTCCTTGGGAAGGATTTATCCAGGATGCTGCAAAGGCTTCACATAGTTCCTCGGATCTCTATGCTTTTAAGTGGCGTGAGGATTCGGAATCTCCGGCCAGAGCACCCCTTGGACCTGGTGGAAGAAAGCCAGGGGCATATCCTGGAGTCCTGGAAAAGCTCAATCATCACAACGAATTGCTTGCCACGATGTTGTGCTAATGCGAAAACCACGGTCCTACGGACTTCAGGAGATCGAAGCACTCCATAGGCACAGGAAGTTGCTCCATCATCAAAACCCTGCTGCCCAATCTAAAGCCCTCGAGCACAAAAGCAACTGGAGAATCAGAGGCTCAAGCACATTTCGCAGCCAATCACGATGCAACAGCTGCAGCAGAGAGGTGGGCCCACCTTGAAGGGGCACCAGCAGCTCCACAACGGGAGCCAAAGGGCTGAGACGGCCCAAAACACAAATCCGCCGCCAAATCTACAAAAGCGCCGACAAACCTGCAATCCCGCAGCCGACCGCTTAAAGGCGACTTTACCCGGCGCCGGCATTTATAAAAGGCGTAAGGGTTTCCCAGGTATATATATATATTTAATATATATATATATATATATATATACACCTTATAATGGGTAATGCAGGATTGTGTCCATCAACAGTAGGAACCCCAGCCGTGCGCGCACAAAACGAGAGGACGTGCCAGTCGACCGCTTGCGGTCTGGCTCGGCTCGGGCTCCGGATCGGCCGGCTCCTGGAGACCCAGGCAGGGTTTCCTTGGTTTTTGTTAAGGGGCTTGATTTAAGTTTTCATAGTAGGGATCTATAGTAAATAGTATGGTTTCCTGATTATGGCACCTTAATTTAAATCGTTGAGAAGAACCCAGTTTCCTAGACGAGTGAACTACTTCAAGCCATTCCTACGCTGCTCTGAAGAAGAACAGGACGGCGGTGCACAGTACTGCGGTTGCCACACTGCCACGGTGGCACGACCGCGATGACGACAACGCTGCTGCTGCGCAGCTGCTGCTCCTGCTGCTGCTGCTGATGCTGCTGCTGCTGCTGCTGCTGCGAACACTTTGACGACTGCCCTTGCCCACGCTGCCACCACAACGATGGCGGGGTTTCAAGGCTTGCGGTTTGGAGTGCAATATTCCGTTGCCTAAACCCTCCAAAGCCGAAAGCCTCACGGGCAGTTCGGGGTCTACTTTCGAGAAGGGATCTCCGAGACCTCAGCTTGAATGGTTGATAGGCACTCCTACGGGGTTTAGGGTTTAGGGTTCCGCAAGGTTCTCCCAGCTATGCCCGCGCAAATGCACCGACGATGCCCCCGGGATCCACGCTTAGCAGTGCCATAGCCCCAGGAGGGTCTCTGCCTTTCGCAATTTGTTGGTCTGGACCTGGATCTTCCCAGGTCCTACACAGCTTGGTTACCCTAAGGCCCCAAAGTAGTTCCTTGTTTGGTTCATATCTAGAATCCTATGAGGTAATCACCAAACGGAACTACTATGGGGCCTTAGGGTAGCATGCCTTGCAGATTCTGTCATGCAGCATGTGAATACGGTTCCCATTGTCTCGAATGAGTAGTTATTCGATCTTAGCCTCAGCGTGACCGAAATTTGCAGCAGCATGACCCATGCTGGAGATGCTTTTAGTTGCAGACATGTGTTCAGCCCCTTGAATCGGAGCCCTCTATGTGCAGATCCGATGAAGGTCTTACAATGCCATTGGCCGTCGAAGGTTTCAAGACCAGTCCGACAGAGATGAACTCTACGCGTGTAACAGCTGCAACCCTCGAAGCCCTAAACGTGCTGCTCGCCGTAAATCCCTTCGCCCTGTAGTACACATACTATAGGTATACTCTTCTTATACGTATATTCTCGCGTGTGCCACTAAGCTCTAGTTCTGCAGTAGATTATAGGTATATATATATATATATACTATTCCTAAACCTCTCCGACCGCTGAGGTCTCTGCTTTGATGGAGCCCCAGCAGCTGCTTCGGTCGGTTCGACGGCCGGGCCTTGCTGGGGGGTGCGCCTTGGGGGTTTCGGGTTCAGGCTGTTTAGGGTAACTGGGTTTTGGGTTTCGGGTAACTGGGTTTAGGGTAACTGGGTTTAGGGTTTAGGGTAACTGGGTTTAGGGTTTAGGGTAACTGGGTTTAGGGTTTAGGGTAACTGGGTTTAGGGTTTAGGGTAACTGGGTTTAGGGTTTAGGGTAACTGGGTTTAGGGTTTAGGGTAACTGGGTTTAGGGTTTAGGGTAACTGGGTTTAGGGTTTAGGGTAACTGGGTTTAGGGTTTAGGGTAACTGGGTTTAGGGTTTAGGGTAACTGGGTTTAGGGTTTAGGGTAACTGGGTTTAGGGTTTAGGGTAACTGGGTTTAGGGTTTAGGGTAACCTGGGTTTAGGGTTTAGGGTAACTGGGTTTAGGGTTCAGGGTAACTGGGTTTAGGGTTTAGGGTAACCTGGGTTTTGGGTTTAGGGTAACTGGGTTTAGGGTTCAGGATATAGGTTTAGTGTGACTGGGTTTAGGCGCGGGGTTTTGGGTTGAGGGTTTTGGGTTTAACTGGGTTAAGGTTTTGGGTTGATGGTTTAGTAAAGGGTTTCGGGCTGGGCTTAGGGTTCAGGGGGTTGGGTATCTCGCAATAAGTAGTCACACTCTGCTGACAGTGAAAAGGTGGGCCGAAGTGCTCCCTGGTTTCTGTAGTTGTCAGGGCTGGCCACTATGGTTGTCGCGAGCACAGTGTGTGCGCTTTCGCACTTATCGAGATGCTGGGGAGGGTTGCGAGTTCAGGGAGAGGATTTGCACCTGAAATTTTCGGGTCTTTGCACCCCGCACCTGTTGTCCTACAGCTGCCTTCAATGATGTGGAAGACATGTCAAAACCATCTTGCAACGCACATGTTCTTGCGTGAACCTTCTGATTTTCGCGATGCCTTTTGCTCAGCAGTGTTAGTCTTGCGATCCTATCCCAGCTCGAGCGGTGACATGGCACTGCCATGTTGATCCATCTCATGGTTCGAAGTACCGTGAGGACTTCTCTATCGTGTGAGGCTTCTAGAAAGTTCTAGTTGGCGGCACAGCTTAACAAACATACTTGCCAGATATGTGGCGCTACCACTCCGCAATAGCCATGCTGAATGGGCAGCGCAAAGATCGCGCCTAGCAGTCCAGGCTGGGGTGTGGCTGTGCGGCTACATGGTATCTGAAGTTGAAGGTGATCTTTTGCCGGCAGGGGTAGGTGGTCTCTTTCACTCTGGAGAAGGTGAAGTCAAGAGAAACGCATTCTTGAAATTTGAGTTGCTCAAATCGGGTGTTCGTCTACCAGAAAGTCAGACATCACATGTTCGAAGCACGCCCTGAGCCCACACTTTGCACGAGAATTTGCTTCGACAGTCCAGGCTTGACCACCGCATGGATGCGCGACTGCAGGGATCACAGAGGTCGTTGCAGCAACGCGGTTCGCCGCAGGCCTTCGCTCCGTGGCCTCAACAGATTCTGCATACGTGAAAGCTCAGGGAAGACACTACTTCGAAACAGCATTTGGATGGCTGTGATTAATACCGAGTATCAAGGTTTCTGTTGTGAGGCATGTTGCAGCAATTCGATGAGTGGACATGAACCCCCTTTCCTGGCAGTGGTATTGCACGCAGTCGTCGTGGTCGTGGTGGTGGTGGTGGTGGTTGCACAGGCGCCGGTGATGATTACGGCGTGTAGTGTGAGGGTGAGGGGTGGTAGGAGTAGTACTTGTGGTCGGCTCCGTCAGCACTTCGAAGGGCTGTTTCTTTATCTGCTTGACGTCCTTGCAGCTCAGTGATTCTGAGTTTTCAAACACCCGCCCCCGACTCGGCTCAGCACCCGCCTCCGCGGTGCACAGTTGGCTGACTGGCTCACTCGTTGTTTTCTACTTGCATAGTTGCTTGCCGTACTTAAGAGCCCTAGACTCTGAACCCCCGCACCCTAAAGCCGAAGCCGCAGTGAGGACCACCCTTCGCTTCGGCGTCGGCCGGACCACTCCGGTCACTCTGCTCCGACAGCTTCACGCGCAAGCGGGGAGCGTCGCACTCGCCCTCACAGAGCCTCGGCTCATGGTGGCAGTGTTTTAGTTGGAAAGAGCTGAAGGCACAGATACAACTCAGTCTGCAGAAGTTGTGTACGATAGGCTATTTAGGGTTTTAGGTCGCAGGGCTGAGGGGTGCCCTGTGTTCTGCGAAGCTTCGGGTTCCGGGCCCTAGGGCCTAAAGCATCTTCCTCTCGCCCTTGCGAGTTTCCTTGGCTCTTCATGTGGAGCTGCGACGTCTCTACTTGCCAAGAAATGCTTAACCCAAGAATTTCCTCTCCAAAGTATAGTAAAAACCTTACCCGAGATGCTTATTCTCAGTATTATTATTAGTACTTTCAATATTATTATTACTATTGTATTATTAAAATGAATACTTCTTATTGATTTTACGACTATTCTTTGTCATTGCTGTCATCGTTATTTAACCCACATGCTACAGGCGCTGCCGATGGCGTCTCCCCGAACGAGGGCTACCATCGGCTGGAGGAGGAAAGGCGGCGGCTGCTCCGTAGCCGGAAATCTGAGTATACGGTTTAGGGTATAGGATTTGGGGTTTAGGGCAAAGGGTTTGGGGTTTAGGGTAGCGGAACATTGTGGCGTTTGGCGTTTCGTGAAGTGGTGGGTCTCCAGGTTTCGAATTTGGGATCCAATACGGCGGTTTAGGGGTCGAGGGTTTGGGTGTGGCAGGGTGCGGGGCGAACTCTTGGAAGCATCAACATGTCGATTAGTGAGTACTGGCCGGTGCTTAGCATTGTGCTTTGTGCTTGGGGCCTGTGCGGTTCTTGTGGCTTGTACAGGGGCAACGTCCATCCTTCGTGCTCTGTTCTCTGTGTGTGTGTGTGTGTCTGTGTGTGCCTGACCCAATTGCAAAAATGACGTCTTATTCCAAGGGTGCCGCCGCTTCTATCGCATTTGGCTTAATTTGATGAAAAGACGCCGAAAGGCCCTATTATATATGATACTGTGCCCGATTGACATCCGTGGTTTGGAGTACAAAGGAAACGGACTTCGTTAAAGTCCTGTCGCTGCCAGACCATTTGATCATAAAGAAGCAGGTTTTTCTTGACAAGAGAAAAAGGTTTTGATGTGTTGTTTGGAAACCTCTGAAACCAACAAAGCCGTTTCACTTGAACGATCCAAACCCTTCGGCACGAGCGTTTCCAGCATGAATGTGCATTTGGTTGCAATAGGATGCAAATTTTCATGTTGTGAAAGCCTAGGCTGTTGCCGTTGGTCCCGAACAGTGTGTGTGCACACGAGCTGCCACGTCCTTCTGCCGTCTAGGCCTTGACCCAGACTTGGCTCTGGCAGGAAAACCGGATAGCCTGTTGTGTGCCGCACGCGCGGCTTTCATAGTGGCACCGGAGCCTGAATTCCGATCCGCTTGCTACCCTGCGCTCTCTCTGCTTCGACCTTTTCTCCTTCTACCTCTTCGGGCGTGGTTTGTGCTACGAGGCTGACTCCTCGGAGGGTGGCCTTCTGCACGGCGACGTGGCGCCTGAGGCTTTGAGTGCTGTGCGCTGCTGCGCCTTCTTGGCACTCCTGAGAGGGAGCAGGCACTTGCTGTGCCCGGGCTCCTTGGACTCCTTTTGTGGCTGTCCAGCTGCTGCTGGCTTTGTGGGCCCTTCTTCGTGGAACAACTTCTTTCAGGAACTACTTTGGGAACTGTGCTGTCCGGACGCTCCGGCTTCTTGAGCTGAGTTCCTTTTGCTTGGAGGCGAACGGCAAGCCCTCCTTCCTTTTGGCAGCGTCTAGGCTGCCTGATCTTCTTTGGCAGCGGCTAGGCTGCCCGCCTTTTTCTGGCTGCGGCATTTTGCCGCCGGGCTGTGGATACGATGGCCGAGGAGGACAAGACGACCTCGGCATGGTATAAGGTGCCGACCTGGGATGGAAGCCCTACCACATGGAGATCCTTCCAAAGGGAAATGAACTGGTGGCTGAGCTCCTTGGACCAGGAGGCCACCAAGAAGTTCAATTTGGCGGCGCGCTGGCTGCTCAGGCAGAGCGGTGTGGTCCGCCAGAGGGGCGAGGAGTTTGCCCCGGAGGACTTGGTCTACCAGAAGGAAGTTAAGGCCAAGGACCCCGATGGTGTAGAGATAGTTGTGGTCAAGGAGGATGCCTTTGCGGGGATCAATAAGCTTATGAAGGCGTTGGAGGGCATCAATGGAAAGTCGGCTTTGGATAGAAAAGGGGAGCTTCGGAACCAGTTCTACTTGACTTTGCGGCGATCCCCGGGCGAGCGGCCGGCTGATTTTCTCAGCCGCTTCCGGGTGCTCACGGCGGAGATGCGCTCGGAGGGGATTGACCTTCCGACCGGGGAGCTGGGATGGTTCCTGAGGGAGAAGCTCGGGCTGGACCCCCTGAGGAAGCAGCTGCTGGAGACGGCCTTGCAAGGCCGAGAGAAGTTCGAGGATGTGGAGGCGGAGGCGCTCAGGCTTTTTAAGGACTTGCACGCCTCCGACCCCTTGTTCAGGAAGCTTGGTTCCGAGCCGCGTGGACGAGGCCGCGGCTTTTCTGGTGGTGCCTCTTCTTCGGGCGGGGCGTCTTCTTGAGGAGCTCGGCCGCGAGCTCGTGGTCAGGACGGTCGGGACCGAACGCCGTTCAGCCAAGCTTCTCTGGCAAGTCGGCTGGCAAGGGCGTTCCGGGCGGAGCTCGTCGACCGTACTTTGCAAGTTTCCGGGCCAAGCAGGCTTTTGCTGCGGAGGCTGAGGAGGAGACCGCGGAGGATGCCTACGAGCCGGAGGAGGAGGAGCTCCTTGCAGCCGCCGGACCTGGATGCCGTTTTGGAGACGGAAGCGGAAGCTCTGGCTGCCGAGCTGGAGCAGGCGGAGAACGAAGGGGTGGACCCTGGCATGCTGGAGCAGTTGGAAGGCTGCGTGGAGAGCGCGGCCGAGGCGCTCATCACGATGAGGGACGCGAAGTCCCGTCTGCAAGAGGTTCGCCGAGATCGGGGTTACGGTCGGGCCGGGGGAAGCCAGTCCCAGGGACAAGCCGGCCGTGGGAACCAAGGGTTCAAGAAGCGAGGCGTCTGTCATGACTGCGGGCTGCCCGGGCATTGGGCAGGAGATGCTGGCTGCACGCGACCTGGGGCCGGGCTTGCCAACAGCGCTTCTCCTTCATCGTCGGCTCCGTCGGGGTCGCCCCAACGAAGGGTGCAGCTTGTGGAAACAATGGCGACGGAGACGGGGACCGAGACCGAGGAGCCTCGATCTCACGAGACGGCGGTGGCTAGCACTTTGGAGCTCGCTTTGGAGAACACCTGCTCGAGAGAAGTGCTGGCCGGGGCCATGTCGAGTGACAAAAGGAACGTGGGTGCGCTAGATTCGGCTTGCAATAGGACGGCACTTCGGGAAAGTCCTTGCTGGGAGGCCCTGCGGCATCTCCTGGCGACCGAGACCGAGAACGAGACCTTCAAGTTCGGGAACGACGGGACGAAGGCCAGTCTGGAGCGGCACCGGCTTCCCATTACCGTTGGTGACTCCGTTGTCTGTGTTTGGACCAGCGTTGTGGAGGTGCGGTCGCTCGGGCTTCTTCTTGGGAGAGACTTCCTGGAGGCCATCGGCGGTGTGATCAGCTTTACCCGGAGGGCCTTGCGAGCTGATCATTTAGATTGTCGTCGCATTCCTTTGCGCCAGCTGTCGGCAGGTCACTTCTACCTGGAGCTCCTCCCGAAGACCTTCGCCGAGGACCTTGGCCGACGATGGACCAGACAAGGCGCCGACGGGGTTCTGGAAGTGCAGGTCAGTTGTGCTGAGTGGGCCCGCCGGAGAGTCGCAGCAGTGAAGCCGAGTGTGCACGAGCAACTTTCTTCTGAAGCTTCGTTGGTGCGTGCGCCGGGTGACCTCTCAAGATCGAAGGCGTCAGCTGGAGATTCAATTCGTTGTGCCGGTGCCGCGCCCTATGTTGCAAGGACCGGCCGAGGAGCGAGCAGTTCGGGTATGCCACCGTCTGCGCCGTATGTGCCTGCGGCTCCTCGAAAGAAACGTGTGGCACTTCGCTGGGCTACTGCTTTGGCTGCTGCAGCGGCCCTCTCTTCGCTATGTGCCCCTTCCGTACAGCAACACGCGCTCCTTGGAGGAGTGGAAGGAGCAAGCGGAAGCCATGGTGAAACAGGGCGCCTTGCCCAGGCGCCACTACAGGGCAGCGCTTATGCAGCGGAAGTTCGACGATGTGGGCCTGCTGAAGGACGCTGGGTACTTGAGGGACCGACTGGGCATCAAGCTGGCCTTCTTGGAGGACTTCAATGTTGCCGGGCATGTTGGCAGCAAGGTACACCAAAGGCGTCAAGGCAGCGATTCAGAACCAATTGGTCGACCGACTGCGAAAAGAAGCTGCCGAGAAGAAGGCCAAGGGCGAGGAGCTGACGGCGGCAAGGGCTTTGCTGGGTCCCAAGGGCGGCCTCCCGACGCTCAAGCAGGACCTTCTCAGGTTGGCGGTGCTCCTCCACGTCGAGGTGCAGACCAACGACACCGTCGACAAGCTGAAGGCCAAACTGAGGCCCATGGTGGACACACTACGTGGGCTGCCACAGCCGGCCTCGCAGCCGACCGTTCAGGCCTCGACTTCATCGAGAATTCCCTTGGCGACCGCCCCGGCAACAACGGTTCCTCTACCAGGACCTTCGCCGGGTGCTCACGGAGATTCGCCGGGGCGAGCTGGACATCAAGATCCACCGGAAATGCGGACGGCCGGCCCGATGGCGACGGACTCGGCCAAGGACGAGGCGCTACTTCAACAAATGCAAGGGATGATCGAGGCCCAGGACCAGCGCATGACCGCCATGATGGCACAGGCTATGCAGCACATGATGGCCATGGCGGGCCACCAACAGCCTGGGGAGACTCCCCTGTCGCCACCGGACAGCGACATGGGCTTTCAGACTGTCGAAGACGTCCCGTGATTGCTCCCCTTCGGCAGCAGCTCAAGCCCGGCCAACGCCTCCTGATCACCGAGGCTTGGCGCAAAGGGCGCCGTGACCGGGCACATGTGAAAGTTAGTGCTCAGGAGCTGTGGGACGCCTTGGCGGTGACGGTGGCTGAGGATCAGGACCGGGCTCTGACCTCGCCTTTCGTGGCGCCTTCCCCGGAATGGCCGCTTCCAGCTCGAAGCGGCGTTTGTGGTGATGTGGTGGCGGCGGCACAGAACAAAGGCCATGCCGTCAAGTTAATCTTTCCTGACCGAGACCGCCCCTACTTCCGACTTCTCCGTGCAGTTGGGCCGTCTCCTTTGCTCAACCTCCGGCCGGCGACCAGACCCGCCGCTGAAAAGAAAACTTTGGATGCCGAGGCGGAGGCTATGCGGCAAGCTTTGGCACACCGGCGGTCTGGCCGGCACTTCTTCGTGGAGCTTTTTCGCGGCGCGGACCCTCGGCGCACACCGGAGGGCCAGGAGCTGCTGGATGAGCCCGGCGTGGTGGAGTTTCTGCGAAAAGGGTGTCGCTACATGACGTCGAGCCCCTTGGTCGCCCAGGCTTTCCGGACGGGGAACCACGACTTCCAGGGCCCGCCGTGCTGGAGGCGATGGAGCAGCAGTTCGAGGCGGACCACCGCGCGGGGAATGCGACTGAAATGCTTGCGGCGGAGACGGACCTAGAGAGTGACTTTCCGGTGGGCCACGACGGGTCGGACTCGGAGGACGGAGCCGTGACGACCGAAGTGGAAAAGGACGTGCCGGTGTCGGCGGCCGTGAGACAGGCTGTGCGCCGGCTGCACGAGAACACGGGCCACAGGAGCCCCAAGAGACTGGCACGGGCGCTCGTGATTGCAGGTGCCCCGCTTGAGGCAGTGATAGCGGCAAAGCAGCTGAGGTGCAGTGTGTGTGTGAGGAGAAACGGCCACCAAAAACGCAGCGGCCTCCCTGCCTGCTCCTCGGGAGCCGGGCGACCAGATCGCCCTTGACATTTTCGACTCCTTCGACGCTGCCGGGGGCCGCTATGGGATCCTGCATGCCGTTGATGCGGTGACGCGCTTCCAGATGGCTGTGCTAGTGGAACATAAGTCGAGTGCTGAAGTGATTCGGTTCCTGAAGGAGCGTTGGGCTCCAGTGTTCGGAACCCCCCGGACCATCGTGATGGACCAGGGCCGGGAGTTTGCCAGCCACGAGGTGGAGCACTATGCCTCGGAGAACAACGTGTTCCTGCACTTTATTGCGGTGCAGGCTCCCTGGCAGAACGGGCTGTGCGAGCGTGTCGGCGGAATCTTGAAGACGGTGCTGGCAGCCGCTACGGCCTCGCAGTCGCTGATGGGCGAAGAGGAAATGAAGACCGGCTTGGCGGAAGCGCTGCTGGCCTACAACATGGACGTCGGCGACAGCGGCTTCTCTCCGATGCAGGCGGCAGTTGGGAGACAACCGTTGCCTCCAGGAGACGCCCTTGGCAACGGGCGGCTGGGAGAGATCGATGCTATGGATCAGCCGGGCTTTGTGAGATTGGTGGCGGTCCGGGAGGCCGCTCGCATGGCGATGTTGCGCCTCCACTTTAGCAGTGCTCTCCGGAAGGCCGAAAAGGCGAGATCGAGGAACCCTACGGTGGCTGATGCTCCATGTGTGGGCGACCTGGTCTACTTTTGGAGAGAGCAGCGATACAACCGGAAGGCCAGCCAGCACCGAAAGAAAATCGCACTGAAGCGCTGGCACGGACCGGCGCTGATGATCGCAATCGAGGGCAATAATGCCTATGTCACTTCCCGGGGGACGTTGACCAAGGTGGCCTTTGAGCATGTGAGAAGGGATGGAGCAAATAGCCTCAGGAGAATGGGAAGAAGTGATTCAAGAAGTGGTTGCCGCAGCCGAGCGGGACCAAGAGTGGGAGATGATCGGCCCCAGGCGAGGTGGCGCGGAGAGTGCTGACGATGGCGCTGGACTTTCAAGACAACCTTCAGTTCCAGAACCGCCGCCGGGGGCCGAGACCGAAACCGAACAGCAAATGCCGGAGGATGTGTTCGGAGAGGGCCTGGGTCAGGAAGAGCCAACAGAGGGCTCTGGACTTTCGAGACAACCTTCAGTTCCAGAACCCGGGGGCCCTAGTTTCGAAGCTGTTGTTCCTTTTCGAGATCGTCTTCGTGAAGCCATGGCTAAATCTCGTGCCGATCGTGGTCATGACTTGCCTCCAGTTTCGGCCGAGGAGCTGGTGAGAGCTTCTACCTCTGGGGTGTCGTTGCCGGGATCGCGGCGGCCTTCTACCTTGCTGGGGCCGGTGGCCTCTGGAGTGACCTCACAGGGACCGGGCACACCACGACAAAGTGCTACTACGAGTTTTGTGCGCCCTGGCACCACGCAACCTGTTGAGGAGCAAGGTGGTCCCGGAAGTGTGAAGCGGCCTGCCGAGGTGGATGCCGAAGCTCTCCGGAACCTCTCTCAAGGATCCGGGGTTCCCTTTGACGCGCTGGTGCTGGCGGTGATGGCGGCAGCTGCGGCCAAGGAGGGAGAAGTACATCCTCTCGTACGGCTACAAGCTCAGGCGGCGCTGGACCGCCAAAGCGGCGAGGAGACGGAGGCGAAGGACCATGGAACTTGGGACGGCAGGTGGCCTTTACCGAGCCGTTCGGACTTCGAGGCCATGACGAGGGCGGGGCTGAAATGGCCCACCGGCCGCGAAGCCTTTGCAGTGCAAGCGGCCAGGAAAGAGTACCATTGGCGGAGCATGTCCCCCGAGCAGCGCAAGGCCTTTGCGGAAGCCTCGGAGGAAGCCTGGAACGTGTGGCAATGAAGCCGTCGAGGTCCTGAGTGAGGAGGAGACCGCAAGGACGCTGGCCACGCTCCGACAAAGGGGCGAGATGAACAAAGTGCTTACGCCGAGGTTCGTGTACACGGACAAGCACGACGGGATTCGCACTTCCACGAACGACCTCCCCTTGAAGGCCTCAGCGAGACTTGTAGTGCCAGGGTATAAAGATACCACAGCGTTCGACCTCAGAAAGGACGCTCCAACGGCCAGCCGCACTTCACAGCACTTGTTGTTCTCTGTGGGCGCCAGCAAGCACCGTGATGGCTGGCGCACCGGCTCCGCTGATGTGAAAAGTGCCTTCTTGAAGGGTGAGAGATACGTTGCTGGGACCCGGGAGCTATATCTCCAAAACATGGAATCCAAGGAAGGCAGCCCGGTGCTCCCCGTGGGTCGGCGCTCGAGCCGGATAGTGAAAGGGGTCTTTGGCCTCAGTGACGCCCCTCGAGAGTGGTACTTGAGGCTCAAGAAGAGCCTGCTGCGGGAAAGGTGGACGCAATCCACCATGGATGCGGCTCTGTTCTTTCTGTGGGGAAAGGGGCCGGAACCCAAGCTGGAGGGCATCCTTTGCTGCCACGTGGACGACCTGCTCTTCACAGGAAGCAAGGAGGCCTGGGAGTCGATTGGCCGCCTCGGAGACGAGCTCGGCTTCGGCTCTGTTGAGCGAGATTCCTTTATGTACTGCGGCAAGAAGGTCGAGCAGGACCCCGACACTGGTGTGATTTCGGTCTCCATGGTGGCCTACCACGAGAACCTCCAAGCCATACGGATGGCGGCTGGGAGGCGACGGGACCCAGATGCTACTTTGCATTCGGGTGAAGTGAAGCAGCTGAGGGCTCTGGTGGGCTCGTTGCAGTGGCTTGTGGCCCAGGTACGGGTCGACATGGGCTTCCAGCTCTCCGTTCTGCAGAGCGAGACGGCGACCGTGGGCACCATCTTGCGAGCCAACGCCCTTGTCAAGGAGTTCAAGGCCACACGTGACTTTGGCCTGAAGTTTCGACCCATGAACCTGGAGGGGGAGGGCATCGTGGTGGTCTCCGACGCCAGCCTTGGCAATGTCACCAAGGAGGGCTCTGTGGGAGAGAAGCCCCTCGAGAGGGTTTACTCTCAAAGTTGCTACTGCGTGCTGCTCGCTGACAAGAACTTGTTGGCTGGCTCCTCGGGCAAGTTCACCTTGCTTGACTACAGAAGCCATAGGCTTCAGAGGGTGTGTCGCTCAACCTTTGCGGCCGAGCTGTTGGGTGTCGAGGAAGGGTTCGACGTGGGCCAGTACTGCAGGGGCCACTGGGCTGAAGTGCTGGGGTACGACCTCTCCTTCAAGAACGCCGACAGGCTTTTGGACCTTGTCGGGTTGATCGTGGTGACGGACGCCAAGGACACCTACGACAAGACCAACAGCGACACACCATCGTATGGGTCACAGAAGTCACTGGCATTCACCATTGCCTGGCTTCGTGGGATGGTGGCCAAAGCCAACGTGAGCCTGAAGTGGACAACATGTTCGTGGACGCCGGGACGAAGGATATGCCTCAGGACCACATGAGGCAGACCTTGACCGACGGCGAGTGGAGCTACTGTTTCGACGAGAAGTATGTGCGGCAAACGATCAAGCCCAAGAAGCCCGCGCGAGAAGGACCGGAAGTTCTGAGCGGGACCGAGGTTTCCTCTGGGGATCCGATGATCGGGTTCCTCCAGGGTTTGAGCACCCAACCGGGATGGCACAAGAGAGACGACATGGCCATCCAAGTGGCCTTTCGTGCCAAGAGTTTTCGGCGGCCTGAGCCACGATTTGAGGCAGCGAAATATCCGCTGCGGACGACGTTTGCCCTTTACCACGACCAAAGCGGTCGGGGCGTCTGGAGGCTTCTCGAGAAGGAAGCCCAATACGGGCGTCAATTGCGGGCATTGGATTGTGAAGCAGCTGTGCTCATCACTCTGTTTCGGACCAACAAAGAGAAGAAGATCGATGTGAAAGCCTAGGCTGTTGCCGTTGGTCCCGAACAGTGTGTGTGCACACGAGCTGCCACGTCCTTCTGCCGTCTAGGCCTTGACCCAGACTTGGCTCTGGCAGGAAAACCGGATAGCCTGTTGTGTGCCGCACGCGCGGCTTTCATACATGTTAAGGAAAATCAAATCTCACAGGTTGCCTCAGCTGTTACTTTAACGCGGGTCTTACTTATTTTCAAATTTACACCTTGAATTGTTTCGAGCTTCCTCACCCTGCACCCGTAATCCTGGAAGGTGACAACAACTTGCGCACAATTATCTCTGTGGAGGTCAGATGACAGCAGCCTTCGACTGAAGCCCCCCCATCCACAATCACCTAACTATAAATGTGTTGCTGTCTCAAGCTTAAACTCAATGATCGAGCAGAACCTCCCTAACACCTGCCCGCTTGTTAAAGGATGTTATTTTTTATCCGGGCGTGTGTCGGGCTCGGGAATGTGCGGGAATTCCAAAACAAAAAGCTCCAGCGGCTTGGGGGGCAAGGGAAAAGATTTTCTTTCGCGCTTAAAGCTGTTTTTTTCTCACAGCGGTTGGCGTTTTCTGGATTCTGCGGGTTTGCTTTCCAGTGCCTGAATTTTAATGAACCTGTAGTGGGGATTGTGTGCATCCCATATGTGCGGTTTTTACAGACTCCTTGGATTATCTTGCTTTCTGAAACTCGAGGGGGGACCTTGTAGCTGCTGGACGCCAGTGCAGAGCATCCATGATCGCCAGCGGCGAACCCTGAGGTTACTGGACCTACAGGTGAAGCAGCAGGAGTGGGAGTTGAAGTGACATGTCGAGCAGGATTGAGCAACAGGGGATTCGACAGTAGGTGTACTTAGATATTGCTGTTGCCAGACTGTTCTCGAGTGGGGGTTTGCCACGCACACCAGCGACCATGGCTATTGCATGTTCGTTTATGAATTAAGTATAACATACACACACACACACTCACATACCGGTGCCATTCTGGGTTGGGGTAGGGCCACAAAACACATCGAACGTAGGGCCCTGGTATGTATGCATATATATTGTATACATACTTATATATATATATATATAGAGAGAGAGAGAGAGAGAGAGAGAGATAGAGAGAGAGAGAGAGAGAGAGAGACAGAGAGAGAGAGAGAGCGAGCCAGGCGGGGACACAACACTAGGTAAACAAGGGGTATGGGGGCTTTCATGCAGAGGGTGTGAAATCTGTGCTGAAACACCCAACCTGGCTGTGCACCACACACGTTTCACACCAGACACGGACACAGGCGTAGCGCTCACGCGCAGGGGGGCAGGGTTCCGCGCTCTGCTGCCCACACGCCATGCAAGCAAGCAAGCAAGCAAGAGATGGAGGGAGAGGGAGAGGGAGAGTTAAGCACAGAAGAACAAACATTCGTACAGGCTGTGTCGCATTGATGCGAGGGTATCATCGAAGCCGCCGTCCATGTTGCATTGCGAAATGACCCGAAGGTTGGTTGATGCACCGACAGCATTCGGCTGTGAACTGCAGCTCAGACTTCTTTCATCTGCAGGAGCAAAACACGCTTGAGGCAGACATCAAGCAGCTTCGGAAGGAGCCAACTGCAAGCTTATGGTTGCAGTAGCCGCCCCACGTAAGTTGTTCTGTTGAATTGCCGTGCCACATCCCCACCAATGCTTCTCAACATCGTCCATGCAGTTTAGCGGTTGCTTCAAATTGTGTTTGAAAAGCCCCGGGTTCTGGTCAGAACAGTCGAATTTAGATTGCCTGCAAACAATCTGCAGCTTCCAACTGCTGTTGCCATGTTGCTTCAGCCGATCGTGACAATGCAAGACTCGGCAGAAAGTCTCAAGACCGACTACATGTGTGTCATCACGAGTTACTTATCTTGAGTAGGGAGTGCTTCCGGTCTTGTTGCATGGCCTACGGCTACGGTTGATGATGTGCATCCTGCATTTCCTTACTGGCCCTAGACTATGGGAAATATGGTGTATTCTTTAGTATGGGTAATTCAGGGGAGCGAGTTTACCCGCGAAAGCTATGTTCACCCTTTGCGACTCGCCGCTGGAGGACCTAGAGCTTGAGCGAGCCCAAAGCGCTGAGGCATTCTTGTTCTCTTTCAGTATCAAGAATTTTCATTGTTATTTGAATTAATACTGTTTTTAATTGGTAGTATGCATTTGTATGGTTATAGTCCACAATAAGTGGTGTGTCGTCTTGTTGGTGTGTGTAACTGCAGTTGGTTTGTGGTTCAGGGTTAGTAATTAAGAAATTGGGATCAGCAGTCATCTCAGCGTGCTCAGCACTGTTATTTTTTCCAGTTGTGAGTGTTCCGGACTGTTCTTGTTGTTGCGGCCATGATTTTCCTGTTCCTTCTTGTTACATCGTAGACTGTCTGGTTGAGAGCAGCATCTAGCAAGCTGAGTCAGAATCTGAACAGGCATGCCAGCTAGACAACACAGTGGCCAGGCATGCAGCACCCCTACTCATAACTCATACGTTGGACGATTGGCATAGTAGTTGCTCTCACATTTTGTAAATAATGCTTGTGCACGCTCCTGGACGGATTGCCTTCACTCCGAAACCATATGCTAACTACTTCGAACTGGCCTTATCTGACGCGAAGACATCTCCCACATGCCTCAAACTGTAGAGATTACGAGACTTGCAACTCCAAGACCCTATTCAAGAGATCCGAAGTCTGGCATTTCTGGGCACTATTTTTGGGGGCTTCCTTATTATAATTATAGTTTAATGGGCCCCAAAACCCTGTTCGAAGTATTATAGCCTGGGAGGCCTTCCGCAAACTCCGAGAGCAGCTCGATGAGCAGCGGCGGGAGGGCGTGACTGGGCTCAGCCTCCGAAGGATCCTCAACTTCCCATTAGGGACCCTAAACCCTAAGCCCTATAAACGGTAACTTCGGACTCAACGGCGAGGAGGAAAAGGGCCGTTCAAAAAAAAAACGTAACTTCGAGCTCTTACAACCCTCAAGCTTTCACGGTGAGGCTTCCGGGGTTTTTTTGCGCCCGAAATCATCAAGGTTTTTGGTTTTAGGGCTTCTAGAAGCAGATCCTTCACGCTTGGGGACGTCAGGCACTCCGTCTGAGGCACATCATGGGATGAGTGCCCGAAAGGTTACTGCAAAGAAGTCTTCTGGGTGGAGATGTTCTGATCCGTGGCTGAGGGTATGCAGGGTGCTACTCAGCCACTATGCAGAAATTCGCTCCGGCACCCGCAGCCGAAGAGCCTCGTATGCAATTTTCCATTCTAGCCATCCCTGTATCGCCTGTGCACCCTCAGCCCTTAACTTGCCCTAGACTGTTGAGGTTTTGTAAACCCTCAGCCCCAAACCCTAAAATCTTTAAGCCTCCGACCCTGGATCCATATACCAAAGCCAGAGACTCTAGCTGCAACCTTAAACTCCACAACCCCCAATAGCCTAAAGCCCGAATTCTTACTTCCTTTTGCCCTCACCTTCCTCTCCTTCCAAGGCCAACCCTAAATCCCAAAACGCTGCAACCCCGAAAGCCTAAAGCTCAATCTAAAAAAGGGACCTTAATAATTACCTAAGCTATTTTGGGGCCTCCCCAAAATATCTATAGTATAGTATACATGCACCCCCTATTCTAACTAAAGCCCCTACAGTATTCCAACTCTAAGGCCAACCTGGAGCTGGAGATGCTGAAGGCACAGATCGGTGCTCCGGGCGGCAAGAAGAGAGGACTCGAGTAAACGCGTAGATGGGGGCTTAGAGTAAGAGCGTATGTTGTAAGTGTATATGTGTAGGTGCAAGTGTGGATGTGGGTGTATAGGAAAAGGGATGGGGATGTGTAGGTGAATGTGGATGCATGGATGTATGTGTATATGTCTGCATGTATGTATGTATGTATGTATGTATGTATGCATGCATGCATGCATGTGTGTGCATATGAACGTTTGCATGCATGCATCTAAGCATGTAAGTACGAATTTGCATGCATGTATGAATGTACATGTATGCACTCAGGTGTGTAAGTAAGTATGTATGTGTGTCTGTCTGCCTTTCTGTCAGTCAGTCTTTATTTATGTAATTTATGTACGTATGTATGTATGCATGTATGTATGTATGTATGTATGTATGTGTGCTTGCATGCATGTATGTATGTATGTATGTATGTATGTATGTACGTATACACAGATACATACATCTATACATATACCTCTGTATAATATATACATACACATAGATATGGTAGATATATATATATATATATATGTAGGCACGTGTATATACACAAGCATTCATACAGCCGTCTTAAGAGTACTATATGTAACTTGCGAAGGGGTAGCTGTGACGACTATCCTGTGGGTATCGGTCTATGTTAAGGTCGCTTGTTTGTTGAATCTCGCAACTGAAGTCGCGACTTCAATACTTTCGCCGACCAACCTTAAGTCAAACGAAGTCATCAGCACCAAGCCGCTAACATCCGAAATCCGCATCCCACCTGAGGTGCCTCTGACAAGTCAGAGGAGGCCAAAGAGGTCAAGCACGAGGCGTGCATGTGATTTTTGGAAGGAAGGGGGGGACGAGGGGTGGGTGAGGGGTGGGGTCATCTGCCGGAGTTAAGCGCTTATCGAGCTCCTGGTTCAAGGCTTTTTCTCTGGCCTCACGAAGGGTAGAAGGGTTGATAGGATTGAGCGGCCTTTCCGGCTTGCATGCTGTACACTTCTAGGATCTGGATTTCATACTCTTAAGGTTCTGTTTTTGTAAGACTATCTCTCTCGCTCTATTTCTCTGTATCTCTCTCTATATATGTTTATATATACACATACATGTAAGTGTGTATACTTATAAACATGTGTATACATATATATATATACATATATATACATATATATATATATATAGATACATACATACAAACGCTCCTGGTTGTTAGTTTATTTAGTCTCCGGAGACCCGGCCTGCGAATCTAAACCCCTGAGTCTCTTAAGCTAAGCCGCGGAAGGTTGAGACCAAGACGCACGAGATCATGAAGGTGCAGTCTGCATGGGCTCTTGAGGGTTGGTTTTGAACGAAATTCAGGGCTCGTTTCCGCTAGGTATCAAGAATCAAGTCTGGCAGTGCTTTTAGCTTTAAGAGTTCGGGGGTGTCGATCTCGAACATAACTTGCGTTTCCGTTAAGAGCTTCAGGGCTGCACATTCCCAGCGCTAGCAGGCGATTTACAGGGCAGCCTTCACGGCACAGGTGTTGATTGTATGATACTGCATGTTTCGTCTTTGTCCCACATCTGAAACTTCGAACCGGCGTGTTGCAAGACCTCTCCATGTGCAGAACATTGGGATTTCGTGTCGGAATGTCTGGCTATTCGTTGCTCTGCTCATTTGACAGTAGTAATCAGTAGTATACGCGTAAGCTTGTAAACGCCGCTACTGCTACAACATGCGCTCGAACCTGATCTCACGCAAGAGGTCAGAAGGCTTATGTAGGTGAAGGTTGGGCCTGAAATGAATGCTTCGAGGCTTTGCAATCGCTGTCCGAGCACCACCGCTCGACTTTTCAGCATGTGGCCACGCTGACGTCTGACATGTGCCTTTGCCCAGGTCGGATTTGTTCGCGTGGTTATTCAGGTTTCAAGGCCGTAATATAGGGGCCTATAAATAATTACCTATACTAATTTGGGGGGTTCCTTATTCTATTTGTAATATAATGGGCCCCCAAACCCTATTCTAATTATTAAGGCTTTGTCGTTCTGGATGCATTCACTTCGAAGGTTGCTTGCACGAATCCAGGAGCTGCGGAAACTTGCTGATGACCCGGGCTCGTTAAGCTTACCATTTGGTTAGTAGGGAATGGAAGACTGGTGTAGAAGTAGTTATAATTGTACCCCGTTCCCGACTAACCAAAGGTAAGTAAGTGACCATGGCTATTACTAATTGGCTTCCGTGCCAATTCCTCGGACTCAAGGCACTCCTGAGCCTTGCAAACTAGTTGACCTAGTTTGACGGACATGGGCAACACACAGATCAGGTTGCCCGACGGTGTTGAGTTTTCGGTGCTGACATTCCGCCGGCTCACTGGAGTTAGCATCTGGGGACTTTTTCTAACTTAGAGTTACCCTACAGGTACATGCACGACCAGGGACCATCAATTTGTCTGAATATGTATGTCTACATGTACATGTATATGTTCGTGCATATGCATGTTTGCAAAAGTGACATATATTCATGCTATACTCACGGGTTCTGCACGCGCACATTTTGCTCAACATGCTTTGCCCTGGTACACCCAACTCTGAAGCCGCCAACTGGATACCGAGCTTGTTGCACCGCAAAAGTCTAGGAACCCTAAAACCCAGAGGCGCTTCCCTAAACCCAGTAAGTTTCATAAGCCCTAAAGTTCTAAAACTTTATAAACCCTAAACACTAAACCTCCGAAACTTAAAAGCCTGAACCTGAAAAGATGTTGTCCTGGTGCCCTTGAACTCTTGGAGATCTCAGGTTGCGGGCTTGCTCGCAGTCTCGCAGCCCCGCTCCGGGGGAGCTGCTCTCCAGCAGAACCAAAGGCCCCTCCCCCAGCGGAAAACTCTCGGGTTCAGGGTGTAGAAAACCCGATCTTCAGTTCCATCTCAAGCCCATGTTGTACGAGCGAGCCTTTGTAAGCCGCAAAGTCCTATATTCCCAAACCCTAAACAAGAAAGGCCTTATGCATCGAGTTAAGAACTTAGGTCACAGCCCGTCCCAATTATGATTTTGAAGACCTAATTCCATGTTAGTAGTGTATATGGGATCCTTCTTTTCCATCCCTTCGAAACGTCCCAGATTTCGCCGCCCAGGCCTGGACGTGGCGAATGGCCACATCCAGAGCACTTCGGGGCCTTCCCAGTCCCTCCCCAGCGAGGCGAGGCTGGCCCATGTGCCCTTGAGGCACATTAAACATGCATATATTGTATAAAAACTTATATGTGATATATCATGAATCAAAAAAATCAAGTGTTCTAACTAGTTATTTAATTATTATATATCTATATCTATATATATATATATATATATATATATATACATATGTATATATATATATATATATATATATATATAACTGAGCATACTATGTTATAAGTTATTCTTTGCAACCTTGGGGTCTTGCCACAAGGTGGTCATAGGGGGCTGAAGGCTGTGAGACGGGGGGGTGGATATTGGTTTTGTTTTTTGGGTTGGGATGTTGGAGCTTCCAAAGTTTGCGTGTGGTTCAATTAGGTTGGCGCTGAGTTAGGCATCGGGGTGAGATGTGAGATGTATGCTGCCCGCGCTGGATCATCGAGATGTGGATCTGCAGTGCTCATTTCTCATTTTATGCGTGTCGGTGTGTTTACTCTGCAGAGTCCGGAAGATTGGATCGTCATGTCACCGTGGTTGAAAGGATCATGCAGGAGACTTCGAGCATGCTCCATGTTCCTCTTTCCAGTCTATACTATAGAGTTTAGGACTACCTTGATGTGTTTCCTGCCTTGGTGTTTCCACGCTAGGTCTCCTCCCAGTCTTATGAACGCTCTTCAAGACTGCTAAAGACCGCCAGAAGAAGGACAAGATCAGCAGCAACATGCTACCGCCATAACACTTTACAAGTCACCAGTCAGGATAAGGATGTTTACCAGTACTCTCAGTTCCAAAGACGCAACAGCACAATGAGTCCACATATCTTAGTAATCGGTTCTCTGGTGCGCATACCAAGGAGCCCGAGAAGTCCTCACCTGGTGCACGGCCTAGCGAGGAGGACACGTCCGAGGGCTTGCCGTTCGGAACTTGGGCTTTCGACTCAAGTTTTGACGTTTGGGAGTTTACCTCTAGCTTGAACGTTGCGTGGACGTCTATGGTTGAGTTCTAACGGGTTGGGCGCGAGGGTAAAAGGGAAAGACTTTGCCGAGTTGAAGAGAATTTTATGGTTGTTGTACGTACCGAGTGAGGCAGTATTCGCAGGGCTACAAGAGTTGCTTTGCAGTTGTCGTTTTTTGGAAGCATGTCCCATTCAGCATCTGTTTCATGAATCTCCTGTTCAAGCGCACGTGGGTTGAAGGCTTGGAGCAGTTTCGAGCACTGGCCAAGCAAGAATGCGTGGTCAAGATTTTGTTTATTGTCAAGGGTCGTCCCCCTCAAGTAGATCTCCGACGTGCCAGATAGCAGGGGCACTCAATCTCCAAGTGAGTAGTTTCGTAAGCCTGCACCTCCAAAGTTATTGCAGGGTACCCAAAGAGCATAAATCCGGTGGCCAATCATAAACTGCGCCGTAACGCATCTTGAGATGTTTCCTGAGCCTTGTTATGAGGCCACGTAAATTCGAGAAGCGTCAAGCCTCGTCAATAAGTCGGTTCGCCTCATTCTGCCCAAAGTCCTGCCAGGATGTGGGCGAGCTGCCCTGGTTCCTCGGACACAGCTGAGAATCCGACGAGATGACAAAGCAAAACCACAATCTGAAGGTATGGTCAGAATCCTGGTAGGTTTCGAGCAATCCATGCTTTGCCACTGGTTTGTTCTTCATTCGGCAACGCTCTGTCACAGATTTTGCCTATCTCTAACTGTAGTAGCAGTTTGCATGTACACATACATGCATGTATGCATGACTTCATGCATGCATGTGAATGCTTGCAGTGACATTCGGCAGACCTTCTTTTCGAAACAACTACGAACACTCAATCCAGACATGGATGCTCGGAGAGGAACAGTTAAGTGACTTAAAACCTCAGGTTTCAAGCCATGAAGGCCAACCTGGAGGCCTTTGCTTTCCTGCCACTGTTCCCTTCGGTGTAGAGGGGGGCCTCAGCTAAGTGTTGTCGTTTAGGGTTTAGGGGTTTTAGGATTTCTGGGTCTAGTTGTGGGTTTTGGAGTTACCTGGTTCTCAAGGCTGCGATGTCACGGACTGTCGTCGGGAAGAACTTACTTGCCTCACCCGAAGTTTAGCGGCCTTTCCCAGAGGACGCAGTGGCTTTTCAAGGCGACCACAGCAAAAAGAGTTCTGCGGGAGTCACGTGGGCCTGCCACTCCACTTTTCTGTGCACGTCAGCCATGCCGGTCGGGCTCACGCATCAGTCGCTTTTACCTAATAAATGGGCCTCAACAAATTACCAACACTATTTTTGGGGGCTCCTTGTTACAAGTACAGAAATTATATAGTATAGTATACACCACTATAATTACAGTATAATATACCCCAAAACCCTATTCTAATTATTAAGGCCCCTATAGTAGTTGCTGCTGGATGTCCGTTGCAGGAGTTCGGGGACGTGGAGGTTTTCTTGGACCAGACGCCGCAGGCCTTCGCGGTGTTCCTGAGTCGAATTCCGTCTCTTCGTGCATTCTGGTTGCCTTGGGGCATCGTCTGTTCAGTGCAGCAACCAAGAGCCTAACGCGATGTGCGATGCAGACAGGAGTGCATGCTGTGCGGGCAGCCGATAGAAGCAGCGTATCGCGTACGGCCTCGGAAGTGCGGCCACGCGCCTTGGCTGGATGGGCACGGTTTCCTCAGATTTCGACAATGACTGAACTGCTTCGTAGACCTCGTAGACCTTACAACAAGCTGCACGGGCAAGGTAATTACAACAAAAAACCATTGGCAGGCCCTTGTGCCTTAGTATTTATAGGCCTTTCAGGGCGACTGGGTCGCCATGGCACACCCTTTGCCTTTCAACAATGAAGAACTCGAAGATTTTCTGCGAAGATAAGTTCGAAGTATCTCCCATGCACCCCTATGGTGGATGCGACTCGCATGGTGTTCAGTCATTCTATGGGACGTGGGATGCATCTTGCCGGTTCACAACTTAAGCATGCCTATTTCGGCATGAGTGCAACGGAGCCTCGGAGACTTCAAGTCCACTTCATCTTCGTAGACTCACCTGTCGGGTTCCGGGTTTCCCTGACCCTGGACACGTAAAACCCAAAACCCCAAACCCGAAAACCTAAGCACAGAGGGCCACAAGTTGCACCGCGGGCTTAAGAGTCCAGACCTTTCGGAAAGAACCATGCTGTGGTATCCCGTCGGCCAACCCCTCAGATTCCAAATAGCCCAAGTCATGATCATCGTCTACGGTATTTAAACCCCAAAATACTGTTTGTATAACTGGAGTCTTAGTGATTCATTGAGGCTCATTTGCTCTTCTCCTTGCACTGGTGGAGAGTCAAAGCACCTGAACGATCCTCGCCGAGGTATTCCATGTGGAGTGTTTGCTCCACTGTTGGAGCGAAGGAGCATGCCCCGTTTGCGGCGTGTCCTTCGCCCCCGAGGTGCTTGCACGGCATTCTACCCATAGCCCCCGTAGTCCTTTTTGGGATTACCTTGTAGAATTCTAAACATGAACCCCAAAAAGGAACTACTTTGGGGCCTTTTGGTAGTGTCCGTGGTGGTCCGGATTTCTGCCGCAAGAGGTTCCAGGGATGGGGAATGGCACAAGGGCTCGGAGTTTCAGGTTCCAGGAGCGGCTGAAGCCAGGGATTCTGTTCGGATGTCGACCCCCCGGGTACTCGACAGCCCCAGGTCCGGATAGTCCAGACTTTGTCTAGAAGTCTAGCTGATGAGCTTGTCTTCAGTGGGTCAGGACATTGCACTTCGGCTTCAAATCGTCTTGCATGAAAGCCAAACTTCTCGCTCCGCATTTCAGCGACGTCGAGCCACGTGGCGATGGCCCAACATATGATGAACTTCGGAGCACATTGCTGTTACGAGAAATGTAGTGTTATGTTTGGTACGTTTGGTGTGAGGTGCCAAGTGTAAAGCATCTGCAAGCTTTTTTGGCATACATTGGCTCGGAAGCTCTGAATTTTGAACCCTTCTAAGGAGAAGAGCGTCCACCGAAAAACAGTCCTCGTAAAATCTAGGGCAAAGCCAGAACTTGTAATATAGGGGCATTCATACTTACCTATACTATTTTGGGGATACCTGATTATTCCCCCATTCACTAGAAGCCGAAAAGTTGGAAACCAAAAACCTCAATCCTTAAGAGTAATGTATAGGGAATCCCAGCAACCCTATAAACCCTAAGCCCTATAAACCCTATAAAACCTAAGCCCCATAAACCCTATAAGCCCTATAAACCCTAAACCCTTACTAACCCTGCATAGACTTCCAGCCGCTTCGCCGAGGCCGCGGCTGGCTCGCCTCCGAAGACTGCCTGGACAGGAGAAGCCGCGAAGAAAACAAGTCCAAGCAGTTCCGGTCAGAAGGGGTGCTGGTTTACCCTAAAGCCACAAAGTAGTTCCTTTTTAGGGTTCAACTAGGTCGAAGGATCTATACGGGTCAAGTTGGATTCGTTGCATCGAGACTTCAGTTCGTCCAGGCATGCTCGTCACCGGTTTTCAGGCATCCCAAGTAGGAGGGAGTTGTGGCATCTATCGACGCCCTTGAAACTTACCTCTGGTTAGTAGGGAATGGAAGAATGGTAGTATCACTAGTTATAGTTGTACCCCATTCCTCCATTCCCTATACTAACCAAAGGTAAGAACTCTGGTGCCCGCCGAGCCGTGTTCACGAGAGGTACAAGCTCGAGGTCTGCCCCGAGGCAGCTTCCGCGCTGGAAAGTATGGGACAGTTTCGGTCTCAGGCAGACCCGAGTGTTTTGTAGCCGGAAATTTCCTGCGAATTGTGCAGTTATAGTTGCTTCGTGACAGCTAAGTTCATGGTTTCGAGTTTAGGCTTCGGCCGTCCCATCCTGCGGATTCTCACATCGGGGATGGGGTCGGAGGCTGCAGCTAATGGGTGGACAGCCCCAGGCTCGCGCTTGGGGCAGGCAAAAGGAAGAGATTATGCTTGCAGCGGCTTCGTGTGTGAGTGCACGATTGTAAAGGTAAACTTGATATCATAGTTGTCCGCATGGCACATGTGATATGAATGTAAGTGTGTATATATGTGCAAGCTCAAGGCAGATTACCGTCACTGTGCCTGTTGCCGGAAGCCCTGAGGCGTGGTGTCGTCGCGCGGATCCCAGCATTGAAATGGTGCTGCAGTAAAAGCACGGATTCCCTCTTTGCCAACGTAGAGCACCCTCTGCTCGATTCGGGGGCACAAGGCAGGATCAAGTCACAAACTCTTTGCCAGCTGAGATCGACTGAGGCCATTGCCCTTTGCGGGACCTGCCAGAGTGGAAAGACATATCTGCTCGATCCTGATCTCTGTTGCTAAAGCTCCTGGCAATTTTGGATCATTTGAAGCCATGTCAGCGTCATGGGTGTTTTGTGTGTTTGATTCAGAACCACGCAGCGAATGGTTCCGCCTGTGCTCCCACACCATGAGATCAGCAACTGCACACAAAACCCTGCTATCATGATTGTTTTTTATTGCTATGATTATTAACATTTGTATTATTTGTCAAGTATTGCAGTTATTATTCAACTTTCATTATTATTCAATCTCGGGCCAAGGGCGAATCATCTCCTTGATCGTCCTCAGCAGGGACTTCCCGCCGATGCCCAAGAATGTGCAGTGGCATGCATGAGGGAGTTTCCGGAAACGAAGTGCCCCGAATGTAGCTTGAGTAGTAGGAGTGGGGCGCCTTAATTCTCGGAAATCCTGTATCATGTGTTGAAGCAGATCTGAGCAAAAGGTTCTCGAACTTCAGATACTTTAGCACCAGAGGTCGTTGAATGGCCCACGCGCTCACCTCGTAGTACGCCCATGACACTTCAGGAATTCACCATGGTCCCGTTTGTTCCTTGAGGTGCTGCAAGTCGGTGGAAGCCTTTGGTCTACTACAAGGACGGAAGGCAAACGCCCACTCTGTTCTTGCAGCCGGTGCTCGCCGAAACGGACCTGAGCCTAGCCAATCTCCGTTCCGACAGCAGGTGTCTGGCTGTGGGCGGGAGGGGCAGACAAAGACGAGAGGCCGGATTGCGCAGCGTAAGTCGCAATTACCACGACCGGCATATCGGAATGCCAGAAATTTGAGGTCCTTGCCCGGGGCTCTTGGAAATGAGGTTGTTTAGAGTCTGTTCTGAAGTTTCACATTTTCTGAAACGCTCACGTACTTGCAGCAAGGATATCTTGGATCATGGCGTTGTGTCTGGGAACCGTTGAAACATGACACTGGGTATCCTAGACATTGAAGAGCTGTATACTCCTGCTCCAAACAACTGACCGGCCCGCACCGCCGTCTCCGCAGCTGAGCCCAAAATTCCAAATCAAGTTCTCATCCCTCAATCCTACTGACCTTAAACTCGCCCACCTCAAACGTTCACAGCCCTTCATCTGCGACCTTTTATGGTCCAAGTACACCTGTCGTACTCTTGCAGCTATTCTTTCAGGAGCCCTGTTATCCTCCTCCTGGACTGCGAGGCATTTTTGTTGAGCCGGACTCTTGTAGGAATGTGCATTCAGATGCCCTGAGCAGGGGAATTTGGTAGATATCGCGCCGCTTACAGGTGCCCCACAGCTCCATTGCGCACAGTTCTCGGTATGGCTGCTTGTGGCGACACCCTGATTCTAACCCGTCCCGCAACTTCAACAAGGGTGTTGGGTTCGGGGGCCGTACGAGTTGTAACTCATGTGGAGTAGTTGCGGAGTTAGATGCAGCATGGACTGCGAAAGTAGCACACCAAATCTAGGCCCCATCGTTTCAATAGCATCTCCGCGGAAGGTCCAGTCCCACTTTGGGTCGACTATCTTGACCTGGGGTTGGTTGCGGTTCTTTGCCGGGTACTATTCTCCGATCCGTTGATCCTGCTACTATTCCGGAAAACCGTAAACGGCGACCATGCTTAGGAACGTGCCCCCTCGTGTGCTACGGTCATTATTGTGTATATTTTTTCTTTGTGATTACTGTTGTGTTTTGTGTTTTGTTTAAATATTGTTGTCATGTTTGTTTAGGGTTTAGGGTGTCGAAGATGTGGCCTGTCAGGGCTTTGGCGGATCCGGAGCTTCTGTTTCGGACAACAGCTGCCGCACCCCTGGCCGACATGACGCCCGGGTTTACCCAAAGGCCCCAAAGTAGTTCCTTTTTGGGGTTTCGTATATAGAATCCTATAAGGTAATCCCAAAAAGGAACTACTATGGAGCCTCTGGGTAGGGTGATAAGGGTCATGGCGTTTTGGGGGCTTAGGGCTCAGGGTCTAGGATGGGATGTAGTTGTTGTGGTGTGGTGTTTCAGACTCCTTGTGCAAGAGCCCAAGGTCTGGGTCCTGACGTAAACCACGCCCGACGAATCAGCCTTCTCCGGCCTTTTAGACCTCCCAACAGCTCGAAGCCATGCAGCCACCAAAGCACCTGACCGTCAACTCCTCAACTCTGGAGCACTGTAGCACTGTGAGTTTCAATCTTTCAGGTCACGGTGCCTCCCGTGACATGCAACTGTTGGCGCTGTGCTGGTTGCTTCGCGTCTGCATGAAGGAACCGTAACCATAGAGGCCCAGGGTTATGGTTCGACGACTTGGACCTTCAGACAGGGTCGGCATTGGTGCTTGCAAGCTACACCAGCAGCCAGCAGCATTAATCGGTCAAGCTAACTTGCAGCTGAGAGCACTACAGCCATGACAACTGTGGGGGTAGCTCGAACACGAGCTGTGGTGAGAAGGTGCCGAAGACTTTCGACATGGTCCTGCAACAGACATCAAGTGAACATCTGGCTCCGACACATGCAAGATGCACCGATCTTCCAGGCTGTCGTCCGCAATCGTTCGCGACCCAGCTCCACCTCTGGGAATGGTGCGTCTGTGTCAATTCCATGTCTGCTGCCAAGCCGGTTCAAGGAATGTCTGTGTGTTCAGACTTGTTGCAGGTCATGAACACCACTGGCACCTTGGACGAGGCTGTCGGGGACGGAGTCCCGCAGCACACACAGAATCTGGAGAGCTGGCAATCCGCAAACATGCAGCCTCTGGTTTCTGAAAACTGCCCGAAATGTTTGGCTGCTTCACGATGTTCGCTCTAAGCAGCTGTCTTGACGACAGCTCAACTTTCGCCCTTAAGTAGGCTCGTGATGTTTGTGCCGCATGAAGGTCCAGGGTCAAGATACTTCGAGTTGAGGTTTCGGCATTTTGGGCATTGCGGTTGGCCAGGCTTCTTGTTCCTGGACACCTCCAGCCTTCCCGAACTGCGCAAATCTTCCGAGGGGCAAGGTCCGAAATCCTCCAAACATCCAGCCGAATCCTTCCAACAGGTTCCCGAACCCCCAAAGTATGTAGAATAGTGGCCTTTTATAGGTTTTGGGCCATTATTTTATCTACTTTGGGGGGTTTAGGTTAGAATGTTAGCTAGGCCCGGCTTTATATTTCACAAGAGCCCAGGTCCGCATGCCCCAAAACCTGCACCTCCGAACCGTAGACCCGAAACTATTAGACCCACGGCGCCCAAGCCTGGAAGGCAACCTTCGACCAGCTGAAGTCAGCCAGCCACTTCAGCGACATCGTCGAGGAGAGGGGGACTGAGGCTCCTTGACCTGCTTGGGAAGTAGGGGGAACTCCAGAAAGTTGGAATATGGATTAATGGTAGGATCCCCTATAATTTACCTTACAGGGGTTACGATAATGATATTCCAACTTTCTGGCTTCTACTGTAGGGTGTTTACGAATTACTAACCATTGATATTATGGGAGCTAAGGAGCCAGGGATGATGATAATCCCTGTTAAATAAGGAGCTAAAGAGCCAAGGGAACCCCAAAACCACTGGTTAGATTATGAGCGATGATGTTATAAGTACCCCCATGGGGATATGAAAGCAATATACGTATACGCTACCTCATTTACGCTACTAGTTACTCTTTGGGTGCTACCATCTGCATGTTTTTCGGGCGGTTGGGCTCTGGAGGTTGCTTACAAACATCTCGGCCACTCGAATGTGTACACCGTTGCACACACACTCAGCCTTTGTCAGCGCGCCCTTTTTCGCTTTCCCAAAGGGTCCTATGTACTGTTATGGGGGATACTTCCCTGGATCATAATAGTAATTCCTAATACAGAAACCCTACATGCTACTCTATACCCTAAACCCTAAACCCTAAACCTATATAGGTACATAGGACCCTTTCGCCTTGCAAAGGCCTATGGGAAGCCGGCCTTGCTCTGGGCTTTACGTGACTTTGCGGAGACTCGGCTAAATACGCGGTTTAGGGTTTAGGGTTTGGGGTTTAGGGTTTAGGGTTTAGGGGGTTGGGCCTCGACTTCCGAAGGATTCCGGGGAGTTGGACGCAGAGTCCTGCAGTAGTTCACACAGTCTTCGGGCAGCGAATAACTCAGCCCAAGCCCTAGCAGAAGAGACACACTCGAGGACCAAAATGAGAAGATCCTTTTAAGGGACTATTTCCAAGCTAAGGAGCTTCCTCGCGATGGGAAGGCTTGGGCCCTCGGGGGGGTCTATGGGGGGGAATTCTGCTTCATGCTAGTGGCACGAGTACTACTCCTCCGATATCGGCAACAGTTATGTTGATTTAAAATGATTTCTTTTTTAGTTTTATAGTAATGGGCATTGTTGTTATTGCTGTATCCCGGACTTGAGCCGACAGGGCTTCTTATGGTGCGTCGCTTGCATCTGGTGTTTGCTGTCCTCGTCTGATTTCGCCGGAGTGAGGAAGCCTGTAGATTGCCGGAGGTTCGACCCGCTAACCTTACTAAGGTGAGCTCAAGAACGGGCCCAACAAACCTTGAATTATGGAGTCTAATCCTGATGCATTTGCTTACGCCGAGAGGTGCCAATGCCTTTTCGACAAAACTAAGAACAGTGCTAATAAGAATAGCCCAGATAACACTAACACGAGTAATGGTAGTCATAGTTTAAGAAAATTACGAATAATGGTTCGATAGTAATCATATTCATCTGCAGGGCCGGACCTTGTCTTCCGACGAGTACCTGGAGCAGTGCCTGCACGATTCGCGAGAGCTCTCGAAGGACGGCAAAATACACAAACTTTTCATACCGTACACGTCGTGGGGAGTTTCGGTCGGATAAGATCTCGAATCCGAAATCTGAACCCCTTAAGTCTTCGACATGAAAAAGTGGAGTTTGATACGAAGGTATGACTGCTTCATGACCCTGGCCAGGAGAGCGCGCGGAAAGCCTGCGGTGTCCGACATGGGCTCGTGAAGTTTTTCAGGCCGGACCCGAGTAGAGGGGCCTAGATAATTACCAATACTATGTTTGGGGGGTTCCTTATCATACTTATGGCATAATGGGCCCCAAAACCCTAGTCTAATTATTAAGGCCCCTACATTACTGGATGATTCTTGGCACCAGTGTTAGGTGTGAGCTTTTCCAGAGGCGTATGTGCTGCAACACTCATGATGGAAGTTCCGAACTCTTCTGCGTTGCGCTTCGCATCACTGGCATCGGTCGGAAAGTTTAAGGCAAGGTCGGAGAATTGAGGTGCTCCCTGGCTTCATGTGTTGGATCGTCTCTCGCTGGCCGGTTAAATTCGCTTAGAGAACGTAGCCTAAGGCCCCAAAGTAGTTCTGTTTTGGGATTCGTATATAGAATCCTATAAGGTACTCCCAGAAAGGAACTACTTTGGGGCCTATGGGTAGCTGTCCTGGCAACTTGCTGTGAACTCAGCTGCTGGGCCTTACGACGTCTTCTGCGCACATCAAGGCTTTACTCAGCAGAAGTCCGCCATTGGACGGTTTGAGTCGAACTCTGCGAGATCATGCCTCGAACGGTAGCGTTTGTGAAGGAACCTTGCTTCAAAGGCATGTGTGCATAATCGCAGGATTTGAGTAAGCAACATATTTTGCAGTCCCCCTGCATGACAGAGCTCTGAACCAAGACAGAACCATAACTCTTCCACCAATCGGCAGGAAAGCTCTCCCCTGAATCCTTCAAGCCTCAGCCTGAAGCGCAGGCATCGGAGTTGCGATGTCATCCCAAGTCCCCAAGCAAGTCGTCTCGAGAGCCGCTGCCTTGGTCCTCGTGGGTTAAGATTTGTTGACAGCAGGGTTGTTTAGGGTTTAGGGGTTTTGAGTTTGGGCTCATTTTGGGTTGAGGGCATTGGCATGAAATAAATGTGTTGGGCTTGCGGTAGAGGGCCGATCATCACCACTGTGTTGGGTTCAAGCGGCGAGCCATTCTCATAGGCACCGCCACTGTCTGGTGCTTAGTAGGGAATGGGGTAATGGGTTATGGGGACTATAATTGGGGATTATATAGGGACTACTATAGGGATCCAGTCCCCCATTCCCTACTAAGAACCAGACAGACCACCATTGTCGAAGCAAAAGCCACCGACTCTGGAGGTGCCAGCTACGACTCTTTGGGCAAGCCCTTTAAGGCCTGCTGCTGCATTGCTGCACGGTGTAAAAGGGTGTTAAAAGGGCCCGGAAGGCTTGAGGAATGCGCGTCTTAATTTTTCGACGTGCTTTTGAAGCGGTCAATACAATACCCATGTGTGTGTGTGTGTGTGTGTGTGTGTGTGTGTGTGTGTGTGTGTGTGTGTGTGTCTGTGTGTGTGTGTGTGTCTGTGTGCCCGTGTGTGCTACATGGGCTCGAAATATGCAGCCAACAACACCTTGACACTTGCGCTTGTTCGTGCGCAACAGCAGCCGCCGATTACAGTACTTCTCGACGTATGGCGTCACTTCATTGATTATAGGGTCAATTACGCTTGCGTTGCAATCGTTCGAAAGTCATTGTATCACCGCTCCAGCTCCAGTATGTTCTGGTATTGTATTTAGTGCAGCCTGCCACCTCTCAAATTCATTGAGTCACTGAAGCCAGGACGCTGTGGAAAAGTTCCGCTCGAAGCTGTTCTCTGCTGGCCTTTCCCGGCCGAAGGTGCCATGGTGGGCCCTGTTCCCTATACTTTCTCGGAGAGTGTGCTCCCTGTTTAAGGGTTTAGGGTTTAGGGTCTAGTGCCCAAATCGCAATCCCTGCTATTCTGATCCAGAAGCCCTGACTCCGCTCGTGTCCTCAGAGTTTGAATGACGTTCGATGGTGAAGGCTAGCCACCTTTCGACCGCCAAGTTGTTTTCTCGGGCCTCCAACTCTGAATGCCAAAAAGACTGGCCTGCAGCCTAATTCATTGCAGTTACATACAGCCTGATCTTATGAAGGTTTATGTTACATGACCTTTGGTTTGTCGTAATGTCATCATGTTATAACAGCTTATCTTATTACTCCGGCTCCAGCGCTTCAGTTACACCAGGCTGTCAATGGCAAGACGCTGGGCTGCGTGGCCTTCGTGGTGGGCTTCCAAGCGCTCGGGCTTCTGCCAACCTCTCAACTCTGTAGCCCTATTGTAAATGGGCTCTGAAACATGGAAGCTTTGTAACTACTTGCGACCATGTAGCCCAAGCCCCGTAAACCTTCGAATTCTAGATGCCAGGACTAACCTTATCCCGAGCCCCGATCGAAGCCGCTGACGCAACATCCAGTGAGGCCTTGCTGAAGCAGCTCGTAGCCTCCGTGAACGACGGCAGGCCTTGGGTTGCAGATTGTGAGGTAACCACGAATTTAGGGTTCATGTGCGCTTTGCGTGTATTTGCCTCGTTGTGTTTCGATCTGAGTCACGCCCTACGGGGGGTCGCTTTGAAAGATACCATGCCCGTGGATATTCAGAGCCCCCATTGCTCCATGTCCGGAATGCCACGCGTGCAGCAACTGCAAACGCATCATGGGATTAGTTCGTGGGACCAACAAAGCCGATCAGCCCCAACCGAAGCTACTTCTGCCACTCACAACACTGCCTCCCCGAAGAAAGCCCACCAGAAAGCAACATCAAATGGTGACCTAAACTCCATGGCACTGTACTTGGTCCTCGAAAACTTCCTCTAACCCGAAACCCCTAAGCTCAGAGGCTTTAAACTTGAATTAGAGATCCCAGTCTCCACACCTCAAGCCCTAAACCCCCGGATCCTAGAAGCCTCGGAACCTGCAAACCCTGCAGACCGTGAACTCCTGAAATCTGAATACCCTCAACGCCCTGACAGAGCCGTGATCAAGTCCTGCAGAACCCTTAAAGAATCCGCCCGGAAACCTGCCAGCCTTGCCTGAAGCCCTAAACCCTAGACCCTCAGCCGGGGAATGCTCCGTGCAGACTCCAAAAAGGCACTAAACCCTAAACCCTAATCCCTAAACCCTAATCCCTAAACCCTAATCCGTAATCCCTAAACCCTAATCCTTAATTCCTAATCCCTAAGCCGTTTCGGAGGATTCTCAGCCTGCACGCAGCCTGGGAGTCGGTCCAGCACACCTCCTGCTTGGGCCCCTACTGTCGCAGGGGGTTTTCGGATCCTGTCGGGATTGAGGGTTTAGTCGAAGGCTTTCGGGTTTTAGGGTTTGTTCTCGCATTTTTTTCGGAGGGGGGGGGAGGTTTAGGTGTTTTGGGTTGAGGTCTTTAGGACTTTAGGGGTTTGGGGGGCTGTTTGGTGGGGTTTCGCCTCTCTTCTCCGTGGGTGTAGAGAACGATGAAGCCCTGGAGGGCTTACAAAGGCTTCTTGAGATCTCACAGTGGGCCGGAATTTAATTAAAGAGCTCTGAGGTTTCAGTGCTTTGACATGAGTCTGTGTGTGTCATGTATTCCCGAACGCGGCGGTACAGTACACCTGTAGCGTCGCAGCGTTGTGCCACGATGTTGTGGGCGATGCCAGGAAGTCAGAAGGGAAGCTAGTTTCGAGATGCTCACTTTCATAGCTATCATAGCGAATCATAGCCATAAGACCTGTAACCGATTTCAAACGAATCAGACAGAGAGCAACCAACAAGAACACTGACACGATGCATCACTCACGTCTCACCAAAGACTGGTCGCTCCAGCTAAGACTGATGTGCCCTGCTGCTGAGGTGGCTCCTTATCAGATGAGCTAAGGGTGGGATCCTTGGGTGCTGGAGTTGCCGAGTTCAGGGACGTTCAGGTTTTTGTTACTCTCTTGATGGTTCGGAAGAGATTCGGGTTTGGACAGAGGTCAGAGCATGTGTCAACATCCTAACATCAGTCATGAGAAGCAGTTGCTCGCCGTGGGCTGTAGCTACCAGACGAGGAGTCGCGGGTGAGGCAGACTGTGCCTGTACTCGTTCAACCGTCTCGTGCTTTTACATTGCCCTGCAGGAAACTTGCACAAGGCGAAAGTCGAAACTTGATAGAACAAACGGCTGCGTCCTTTCTGCGAAAAGAGAGTCGAAGCCAATTGCAGGGTGGAGCTCCGGGGCCTTCCGGATGAACCGACTGCATGGCTGGACCGTAAACCCATGCCAACAGGGAAGCCCCAAGCCCAGGACACTTCCCTAGAAGGTAAATTACTAAACCCACCGACCAAGGGCGAAGCTTCGTCTTTGTTCCAATCTTTGGCTGCTGGGCGCCCCATCGAAGGCAGGGGGCCCGAAGTGGTGGACAACCATGTATCCGGCCTGTTTAATTGGTGCCCTTGCTCCTGTTTGCCTTTTGTGCTTTAGAGTTCCAGCTTCAGGCTGGAAGAGCCGAGGGTTCAGGCGCCTCTACAGTGCTACAGGTTCCTGCATGAGTCTAGAGTCTAGATATTTCGCGGAGTAGGAGTTTGAAGGCCGGTCAGGGTCAGTGTGCCAGGCCCCCCTCCCCCCCCCACATTGCAAATGACTTGCAGATGCCAGTCAGGCGGTGCGAAGCTTCCGCTGAGCGAGGAGGCGTGTTTTCATTCGAGGGGGAATTCGTGGATTTTCGTTCATGGCCGTGGAGCTGTAACCCTCCACCAGCTGGTGCTGCTTCTAGAATCTGTCTTCTGTTTATGCGTGTCCGCAAACCAGTATCAGTATGGGTGTGTCTCCATAATATTTGTTTTTCATTTTTGCCGCGGACCCCACCCAGAAGGTCACACATCGGCTGTGGCTCGCTATCCAGAGAGAACACCTTAAATTATAGAGGCCTTAATATTATTATTTAAGTTATGTTAAGGGGTATTTGGGATCTCTGGGTACATAGTTCCTTTGAGGACACATGATGCCTGCTCTTAGAACACGTTCGCTTCTCTCCAGCTGTGTAACTCAGGCACTTTTTACGGTCGTCCGTGACCGCAAGCGTGCTCTGAAAGCTCAGTGGGAGGCGCGGGTGTTTTCTGCTAAGCTTGTTTTGATCGTGCGACCGCGAAGAGTCGGTAGCTTGCAAGGACTTTCCGTGTCCTGCCTGAGATGTAGTAACTATCTGACAAATTGAGTCTCATGCTCTTCAGCAGGAGCGAGCATTCGGAGATGAAACGGTTCGCCGCACCTACTGGAAGGACGGCCTGGATAGCTCAGCCCCTCACGGGATTCAGACCTTCTATCCGTCCCGAAAATACCGACCCATCAGTTTTGAGATCCTCTTGTGAAAGGAACCTTTTTCGGACGAGTATGACAGGCGTGATCGTGACGAATCTCATACTCATACAGGGTGCGACGTTGAGTCTGATGCTGCACTCTTCCCCTTGAGTACCAGATGAAGGGAGCAAAAGCGTTTGGTCGCAGTGGTGCTTACAGCACGCAGCTGCAAGAGTAATCCGAAGATGGATGCAAGCAGACATGTTCGGGGGGGCTGCCCCTCCTCTTTTCCTCACAAACGATGTTGTCCCAGGGTGTTTTGGGGTTCCGCAGTCGACCTGTTGGATGTTTGTAGCAAGATTTGGTGATCGCAGGAGCTGAAGACATCCCTCGCCAGGGAGGCGCAGCAGACTTGGAGAGCTACATGTGGCTTTCCTTCCTGCGAGTTCCTGCAAGCAGTAAGAAGTAATTATCCGGCTCGTTGTTGGCGTCGCTGGGAGCCAGGAGAACATGGTCAAGACGCAGCCGTGAACTCGGCATAGTGCTTTCAATCAATGTTTAGCTTCTCGAACCTTTTGCATGCTTGGTCTCTGACAGCCTCTGAATATAAGCAAAGATATCAACGCAGTCGCGGCCAGGACAACGAACCTTCGTCGTAACAAGTAGTATGAGTCTATGAGTCGTCGCTCTGAACTTCACTGCTTGTTGCCCCTAAGCACTTGCCGGAAGAACCAGGAATGCGCGAGTCGCGGACCAGCAACTCATGGAAGGTGTCAAGGCCTGGCAGGCCTGGAAGCCCCTTTCCTTGTGCATCAACCTTCATGGGTTTGTTATGAAACTGGTTTCCTGAAGAGTTGCGATGGAAGCCTCTTTATAGTGCTTCATCTGGTTTGCGGTTTGGCAGAAGCCGCAACTTGGGAAGAAACGTAAGCATAGGTATAACTTACATGTTTACCACGGACCTGTCAAGTACGTCCCTGCCGGTGCATATCATTGCATGTCCTTCTGCCTGCCGGTTTAGTCTTTTGCATACGTGTATACACATACACTGGTAGATCTACGGACCGATTTCGAATCATATCCTCCTGCTGCAGAGGATTATGGGTTTATGTTTATGTATCTGACGCCGTCCCTGCTGGCCCTTGTCTGAACATGCAATCCGGGCTCGCAGAAAGATATCTATGAAGCATGGAAACATGTTGTGTAGCAGAACAGCGTGTTTAGAAGACAAGGTAAGAGCGCAGTTCTAGATTCCCGAACATGTGTTTGCTTCTAAATTTTTGGAGCAGAGTTTATTCGTCACAGCTTCCGCATGATTTCAGCACTTCAGCTACATCTGTAGCTTCGTTGGTCCTGTACTGTTGGGCTTAGCCGCATACATATGCTGCATGTAGGCCTACAAGCAAGATGTTGCCCGCCTGTGTTTCTTTAGCGAATTTGGCAAGCAAGTACGTCCAAAGCTATCTGCGTCATATACTGTGCATATGCAGGTATGTTGTTCTATGTGTAATTAGTTACATATGTGGGGGTGTTCAAATTTGTGGTCCGCTTTTGGGTACCCTAAATATTAGGTGCTGTATTATACTAAGGACCGAAAAACGGACCTAATGTTGGCAGCCACCTATGTATATCCAGTTATGTATGTATGTGTGTATGTATGTAGAACGTTATGTATGTATTCATACATATATATATATACACACAGATATGTGGACATATACATGTATATATGCAAGCTCACACATACGTATATCTACATGTCTACATACGTGTTACATGTAGATACACCTGTAGATGAGTCCGTGCACAACTGGCGGACTGCATGTCTTGAGTCTCTGTGCTTGCCTAGCTGTTTTACTTGCACTTGTCGTTGTTTTTCGGTATGCAAGTCGTGGCTTTGCAATCGCGGAAATCCCGCCGCATCATGATTTGGGGAGAGCCCGCAACAACCAGATCTCTCTCCATCCTCCTAACTCTTCCTATAACCGTTGCTAGGAGTGGCTGGACAAGGACGAGGACACTGGCACAGACGAGATCTGCAACTTGCTGGGAGCCAGGGCCCCTTCGGTTTTCAGCATCGGGCGTTCTGCGATTGAATCACTTACCTTTGGTTAGTAGGGAATGGAAGAATGGTAGTAATAGTAGTTAGAGTTGTACCCCATTCCTCCGTTCCCTACTAACCAAAGGCAAGATCAGAGGTTGGAGGCAGTTCAGGTTGGAACATTTGATTGCCCGAGGTGCTGATGACGAGAATGCCTGGCGCTTCCTTGTCCAGGGCCAGCCGGATCGCCATCCAGGCAGATTCTTCAAGTCTATCTTGGTACTTCTCGGTTCGTAGTTGAAGCCCAAGACCAACAGCGTAACTTAGGGAGAAAAAACCTTGCCAGCTCATATACGTGCAACCTAGCATGTGCATCAGAAGATATCAGAAGCTTACCACCCAGTCAGTCTCATGTCAGCTCTCGTTCGCCAGCTCTACAGTCAACCGCCTCAGCCCTGCACACTAATTTCCCAAACCGTGAATCTTAAAGCTGTAGAATCCAGAAGTTCTATAGATCCTAAACCTAAACCGCCTACACCCCTGGTAGGCGGCAGCCCGGCGCATGTCTGCTACACGCAGCGCCGTGGCCCATGCGCTGGAGCGGCAGAATGTCGGAAGCTCGGGTAGTCCTGGTGCAGTCTGAGCTTCCTGGAGCTGGGTCTCCACGGTGGTCTCATGAAGGCCCGAAGGTAATACTTTGCAGTATTTGCTCAGGAAGAGTCATCATCATGATAGTGACAATGAGCACCATAATCTTCACGACTTGCAGCAGTTGTCCTCGCGTGAACATACGAAATGTTCATACCCCCGCTCCAACACTCCCGTTGCTCACATCAGGTGCCTTGCAGAAGAAGGACCAAATTACACACAAGGGCACCAACAAAGGAACCGCACTGTGACATACAGGCCTGAATATGTGGCCATAGGCTCCCCTTGTTGTCCCCATATGTACTTATGCTTTTGGTTATATGTGTATGCCCCGACATCCCAAACTTTACTGACATGTTGAGGCCCCCACATTAAAAAAGCATCTCCCTAAGCCCATCAAAACTTGCCTCCCGAGGACCTGCAGCGGAAGGCTGTCGCATGGGGGGAGAAAGCTGCGCAGCAGGAGACCAACCAGCTTGGGTTTCTGCTTTACCATTCCAAGCATATTTTCAGACATGTCTATGGCACGACCAGGCTCAGCAATGTTTGGGTGTTACGGTTTCGTGCTCATCCATTTCGTCAGCAGAATCAAGGCAACGAGAGCAATGAGAGCGGAGCGTCATCCGGCCTCAAGCAATCAGCTGTCAGAAACACCCGAAGAGAGTACTCGGCCCACGATGCTCATAGCAACGGAGAGGCAGCCTAGCTCGCCTTGAAAGCCCTCTTCTCTGGTGAGGAGGGCACCGCAAGATCGGAGCTCGAGACGCAGAAGGCACGTATCTGCATAACATCAGCAAACAGCTACATGGTGAGCTATGACAAAAGCCTTTGTCTTTCATCACTACCACCAGCATCTTTTAGTGCAGAGTTGACAGCTCCTTATTCCGTCTATTTGTCATTGCGACTCGTCTCTCTTATCACTTGGTGGACGAGTGCATGCACTTCTTTACCTTACCGCTGGTTAGTAGGGAATGGAAGAATGGTAGTAATAGTAGTTATAATTATACCCCATTCCTCCATTCCCTACTAACCAACGGTAAGTTTGCCGGTACACCAGCTCACGACTCCGTGTCCCAGGCAGCCTTGGATGAGGCCGTAGAGAGGCCCATGCCTTAGACTGCTTAGCATGTGAGCTTTAGGGACTCCTCAACCGTAGACTGAGTTGTATGCCGTCCCCACAGATTTCTGTGAAGGATACACTCATAAATATGTATATATGATCCCAAGAAATGCTGTTCGAAAAGCCACGTTGTATAAAACAACGTGGCGATATCGAGACTTCGAATCCATGAGTGACCTAGTTACTGCCCTTGAGACTTCAAACAGAGATCAGGGACACAGCATAGCATGACAGCAGCACACGGACGGTACTACACAGTCGATGTGTGCAAGAGATTACTTAGCATGTTACTATGCACGAATGTATACAAACTCGCATATGTGTTGAACCTGCTTGATGAGTTTGATGCAGGAAACAAGTATCATGGCAGCATCGCAAAGTTCACCCTGCAACACACAAATGGTAGTGCAGGAAGACATGCATATTGAACTTTTGCCGGATCGATACTAGTAACGCACTACATCGCACGTTCGTGTACTGCAGGACGTGTATGTCAGTGTCACCAACAAGTACACCAACGCACACCCAACCGAAAGAGCACTCAGCAGTCCAATCTCTCCAGACACTGGTACTATCCTGTATGACCTGCTTCCTGCCTGCATATGCGAGGGCTGACAAAGCCGAACAGGACCGGAAGGGGGGTGGGGGGGCGAGGGTGATAGCTGCCACAGGCTGCAACGGCGCAGTACGCAACAGTTTGCCTGGACATGAGAGCTGGTGCCTTGCAGTAAGCTAGCACCATATTGCTGATGAGAAACGCGGTGAGTTGGAAAGTGTGTGTGGCACAAAGGGCATGCATCAATCAGACGGCAGGAACCCACCATGTATATGTAGACATTTCCGTCTTCTTGACATCTTCAGCCTGGTGCAGGAGTGTGATGAGTTGACTCAACAAGTCGAGAGCCAAGAGGCACCCGCAAATTCAAAGCTGGATCGAGTGGATAGAGCTAACGCAGCCTTTCCTGCGAAAGCAATGCAGCAGGTGTGCAAAATAGCGAACCTGACGACAGAACTCCGCCACAACCAATAATCCCCGAAGTCTCGACCCAGCTGTGAACATACTATACCTCAAAGCATATTGACCATCGTTTTGACGGCAAGTTTTGACAAGTCGACCAACCAAAGTGGAGGCTTTGGTCTGCCCAGAGAACCCAATAATTAAGGAATATACCTTACATACTATAGGGGCCTTAATATTATGATTTGAGGTATATTCCTTAATTAAGGGGTACTGGGATCTCTGGGTGGTGGAGGACCAGATCTTAAGATGCCAGAATGCATAAACATCAGCTTCCAGAACCCCACATTCGCAAGGAAGGTTCTTGACCAAGCAATCAAAGAGGATTTGCCTAGGTTTCAAGTTTCGGGGCCGTCTGGTAGAAGTAGCTGCTGTTACAACATCTACTTCCAAGTTTTTCTGCTACTAGCACCACCACTCCACAACTAGCACTACCACTACCACTACCACAAAGATCACCACCACCACCGCCATATACGACCACCGCTACTACCACTACCACTACCACCGCCAGTGTCACAGCCAGTACGACTACTACTACTACGACGACGACTACTACTGTACTACTGTTATCACTGTTGCCTTGTCTACTATACCACGACCAGATTCAGGAACCATTGTGTGATCATTGTGGTACCATATGAACTTTCCTTGAGTCCAGGCGCAATTGGATGCTCAGCGAGACAGCCTGAAGGAGGTTATGCAGAGCCTGGAGGCGTTCCGGGGGGCTGTGGGACTTCAGATGCTTGGGAATCCAGTTCGGTTTGCTTTGTCAGAGTCGTCACATCTTGCACCGGCCAGTGCACAAACATTGCTCAGAACATCAGGTTCTCAAATGTTGGATGACAACCTTATTGTGTGCCCAAGACATTCTCGCCATGCTGACGCAACTCTCCTCTGCGGCCATCTGACCAACCTTTTGCATACAGATCCTCTCCGCGATCTCTCTACCCGGTAAGCTGGCAAAGTTCTCTCCTCTGTTCCGTTCACGCAGGGCTGCTGCGAGGTGATCGCTTCTTCTCGGCTCTTTAAACTCAGTCAGCTTGGATTCGCATGCCTGGAAATTGTGAATTCCTAAACTCAAGTCTCCATAGCCAAAGCTCTACTTCAACCATACCACGAACCCTGTCAGTTCTAAACCCTACACCCAACACACAAATACACAGATCCCTGTAGAATCCTTAGCCTACCCAAATCCTGAAGCCTCTGCTTTCCTGCCGCATTACGTGTTATTGGGGGCTAGTGCATGCATAATCAATCCTAGTAGTAACAACGAGTTCTAGCCCGGATGACAAGCGCGACATTCACCCCATATAGAGTACCCTAAATAGTAGGATCCGTATAATAAGGACCCTAAAATAAGGTACCCCTAGTTATCGGAACCTCTAAACCCTAAAACAACGGAGCCCTTTCTAGACCCCCTTAACGGAACCCATATATAGATCCCTTTAAGGAATTACTTATAGATCCCTTCAAAGGACATTCACAACAACCCCGGGAGGCTTCGCGTTTGCGAGAGCAGGAGCTTCGAGCGCAACAGCGCGCTGCGGTCTCGGCGTGGGCGCTGGGTCGTATATAGTATATAGTGCCGTTACAAATCCGGATTCTGCTTCGGGTTTCGGGGTTCTGCGTTCAGATGGCCAGAGTTCGTTCGTTCGTTTCGGGCAGGCTTTTGTCTGATTATTGCATCGTCTCATGTGGGCGATTGTCAAAATGATGGTCCCTTTTGGGGTACCCTAAATATTAGGTGCCGTACTATAGTCAGGGCCCCAAAAAAAAGATCCCAATCTTGACAACAACCCATGTAAACCGATCATCGCCGGCGGCAGCGAAGGTGGTTGGCGACTCGGAAGCTTCCCTTCGGAAGGAGCTGGAGCAGGCGGCGAACTTCAGTTGAAGGGCTCTGGCCCCCGGCAGACGGTTGCAGAAGAGCTGAGATACTGTACCACCATAGTACTTCCATGTACTTAGTCAACTCTGTAATAGCAGCTCTTCTACGCAGAAATATTGCCTTCAACTCACTGCACTAGTAGCTGCTGGCGGTTGCATTCCTGCCAGCATCCTTGATCGAGTCTGCTGGGCTTACTCCTGTTGGGGTGACCATGGCATGTGCTTTTTCCGTGTCGTCGATCTAGAAAGCTGTTGGCAACTGTTAAGCTGGATGTGACCTTTGCTGTTTTCGGTGTTATTGCAGCATTGCTAGCATCGTGCTTCTGTTGTGACAACGATTAGTTTGTGATTGCTCTTGGTTGTTGGACCTTTCACTTTAAATGCAAAGCTAGGTGGCAATTCGGGAAACTTTTTAATTTTCCTTATGGTTCCTATAGCGGTACCTGTTCATAAATACTTTTCAGAGCCCCCAAACTACAACCCTAAAACAAATTACAACCCAGAAAGTTTCTCGGGCTTTCAATGAACTTGTAGCTGCGGCTGCAGGCTCGAGCTGATCTCGCCGTGGACTCGGTTTAGGGTTTATAGGGTTTATAGGGCCTATAGGGTTTATAGGGTTTAGGGTTTATGGGGTTTAGGGTTTATAGGGTTAAGGGTTTGTAGGGTTTAGAATTCAGGGTTTTGGGCTTAGGGTTTATAGGGTTTAGAGTTTAGGGTTTATGGCTTAGGGTTTAGGCTTTATGGGGCTTACAGGGTTTAGGGTTTAGGGGAGTGACTTTTCGTCTCAGGGCTTGCAGCCAACAAAAACCTTGGTGAAGTGCTCCCGTGAATGTCTAATTATGAAGGCCTTTGCATTCTAGTGCCCTTATAGAGCCTTATTATAGATCCCTTATAGTAGCCCTTATAGGCCGCTTTAAAGGAGCCCCTATAGATGCGATTTCGCAGCTCGAATAAATAGCTTCACAGGCTATCGGCTGCAAACTGCTGGGCTGAAGCCAAGGTGAACCCCGAAACTTGAACTACAGTGTCTTTGTCTTGGGTTCGATACCCGAAGATTTTTGAAGCTGCTCCGCAGCCTCAAGCCAAAGCCCAAACACCGTCGAGGCCCGTGAGGATGCAGAGCGCTTTGCTGAGGAGCGTGCTGCCACGGACTCGGCACTCTATACACGGGGTGGCATGTAGGGTTCGGGATTGAAGGGCAGCTACATAATGGCTGACAGCATGATGCAGGCTTGTCTTTGCGGTTCCTGAAGCACCTTCGCGGCCCGATCATGTATTGTAGATTAGCTTGAGGGCTAAGCCTAAGCTAGTGGCCAGGTCCAGCTACATCAGAAAATTCCGTCTACCCTGCCACTATGAAGATGATAGTGCCACTCATGAGCATAATGACAGCAAAGACGCCCCATCATACTTGAATTACTAGAACCTAGACCGCCAAAAGTATGTCAAATCATGGCCCAAAACCTATAAAAGGCTATTATTCTACATACTTTTGGGGTCCAGGCAAGGACGCATAGTTAGCTCGTAAGCCCCATCACACGCTAAGGCCGCAAATGCCTCAGATGCCTCCCTGGCCGAGCAGCAGCGGCTAAAGCAACTCCTTGAAGAGGCCTGTAGTGGGGTTTTGGGCTTCAGGGTCTAGGAGGATTTCAGGACCAGCCAAAATGGGCCATCAACCAACATCCATGGGCGATAGGTCTGTGTGATAGGTACGCTGAGTTTCAGTCGTTGCTCTGGTCCCCTGTGTACTGCCCACACGCCGTTTTGTTGTGGACTGAAACCTATCATCATGATGCGTGGATGTCCGTGGTTGTTCCTCAATGCTCCGGCAAGGGGTGTGGTACTGGTGCCACAGGAGTGTGAGGCCGACCGGCCCAAGATTCAAGATTGCACACACAACAGAACCACAGTGGGCCCAATCCGTTGCACAAAGGTAGAACTGCGGGCAAAGAGGCAAACACGACAGCGTGAAAGTCGCGGGGCTTCCTTGATTGCATGCGTTTTGTTTTGTTTCAGTGTTCACAGTATTCTGACAAAGGGTCATCGCAACAAAGCGATGCCACTTGCCTCCATCACACCTTTGCAAGCAGGTCGGGCAGAATATCGAAGACATCAAGCGAGTGGCTCAATCTCGACGGGTGGTGCTTACCCTAAGCCTTGGAATCCCCAATGCTCTAAGGCCCTTAAAGCCCTTTGGCCCTTAAGCCCCAAGCCCCGGAAAACAAAGAATCGGCCCTGGTTTGGCATGAGTCGGTTAGAACCGGCAGACGACCGATCTCACGGTGATATTCGGAAAAGCCCTTGCTTTGGCGGTTCTTAGGGCATTAGGTTTTAGGGCTTGTGGTCCAGAAACCTGGTACCTGGGTGCTGACATGCAGAATTCAACGGAGCAGGGAGGGTGAACGCATGTATCGGCGCAGTCCTTCGTATGTCTCTTTTCCTGTCGGCTGACCTGGCGAAGTGTGAGCAATGGCATATGACTCGAAACAAAGATTGAACATTGAACCACTGAAGGCTGGAGCTCGGCAATGAGAGAGAGACTCATGGCAACGAGAAGCTTCGCGTGCAGCAGGAGCCTCTTCAAGCCAGGCGAAGACGGCAGCGATAAGCCTAGGGTTGAGGATTTACCCATAGGCCCCAAAGTAATTCCTTTTTGGGATTACCTTATAGGATTCTAAATATGAACCCCGAAAAGGAACTACTTTGGGGGCCTTTGGGTAGGGTACACCCAATCCGAACAAAGCTGACGTAGGTCTTGTGTCCACCTCCTATTGACATCGGCTCCGATGCTACAGAATCCGGTACCGTAAAACCCCACATGACAGCCCTTACGAAGCTTCTCAAACAAAGCCCGCTCCTTTCCAGGAGCATGAACAGCGAGTTCAGGCAGGAACTGAGTTCTTTCTTACCTTTGGTTAGTAGGGAATGGAGGAATGATGTACAATTGTAACAACTATCTCACTACCATTCTTCCATTCCCTACTAACCAAAGGTAAGCTTAATAATAACCAATACTATCTTGGGGGTTCCTTAGTATGAGTATAGTATAATGGGCCCCAAAACGCTATTCCCTACTAACCAAAGGTAAGTATTCTGTTTGCCGCTTTCAGAACTTGGCGAGACTCCCCGAGGCAACTGCAGGCCCCGGGACTCGTATATCAAGCGCCTAACATATGTAGGGGCCTTGATAATCCGGGTTGTCCTTTGGGATCTTTTTTAATTTCCCCTACTATTCTGTAGGGAACCAAAATAGTGAATAAATTTCACAGGGTTTAAAGGACAACTCAGTAGTTAGTTTAGGTAATTGATTCGGCTCCTATATTATACCCATGTGGTTTTGATTGCAGTTTCCGAGACCACTCCGAGTTAAGTCTTGCAGAAGGATCTTCGCTCCAAGCATGACGACGAGAGGACGCTCCTCAGGACTGCTCGACAGCACCCTTGTGTTTATCATCGGCTGGGCCTTCTCGCTTATGTTTTCTGCAGGAGCAAGACGGATCAAATCCGCGACGAGCACTCTCGAATGGCCGAGGCGTGCCGGTGTGGTGTGATTTACATTCCACGACACTCAATGAAGTCCAAGACGACCAGCTGTGCCACAGCAGGAGACGAGACAGCAGCTCGACAACGAGCGGCATGCCCATACAAAGACCAAAGACGATGACAAGGCCTCGCCTGCCCTACTCGAACCACCTAACTTCCATCAAAAGAGGGAATTCCCTCAGAATGCACTTCTTAGCTTGAGAAAAAGGTTGCCTTAGTTTGGGATGGAAGATGAGACGGAAATTCTTTTGGATCTTGAAAGACCTCACCGAAAACCGCCTCAGAGTGTTGTCTGCCCAGTTTGAAGAAGCTCCCTCAAACTCAGGTCCAGGCCGTGCTAGTCTCCTGCCGCGTTTGCTTCTCTAGATTCTACACTAGCCTCCGTCAGACCCAGAAAGTCCGACCTGGACGCATTACCATACTATACCAAAATATGCCATCATATACCATACTATACCATGACATATTATAATATACCGTACTATACCATAACATACTATAATATACCATAATAAACCATAGCAAACTATCACTTCGTGCTGTTTCGCAGGGTCGCCTTTTGGAGCACAGTCGCACTGCGGGCGTGCTCGAGGGGAAGATCATTGCCAACACCGAGGAGAACAAGGCGGGGCCCTGGACTGTCTGGTTTTTAGTAGGGAATGGGGTTCCTTTAAGGGTCATACTATAGGGATTTAGGGTTCTTAGTAGGCTGTCCTTTTTTGAGTAGATCCTTAAGGCGTCCTTTAAGGGATCCACAAGGGATCTAAAGGGTTTAGGGTTTAGGGCCCTGAACTATCTGGTTTTTTAGTCGGGAATGGGGGAATGGCCTTAGGGTTCCTTTAAAGGGATCCTATAAAGGGGATCGATAGGGGCCCTGAACTGTCTGGTTCTTCGTAGGGAATGGGGGAACTGGTTGCTGTCATTGATTGTTGTGGGGCTTGGGGCTGTAGCCATCCTGATATACCCTGAACTTGCACCATTGCAGGCGAACCTGCAATAGTCCGTATGCTCGCTCTCTCTCTCGCTCTCTCTCTCGCTCTCTCTCTCTCTCTCTCTCTCTCTCTCTCTCTCCTGTCTCTCCCTGTTTTCGTCTCTGTCTCGCCAACGATCATGAGTTTGCATCTGTCCTTGCATGGGAGGGCCTGCGCCAGCGACTTCAAGCCCTGGAGGAGAAGGCTGGATGCTTGGAGCTAGACTCATTTGGGAGTTTCCGACTACGGGGCACCCTGATACAGTACCCTAAATAGTAGGATCATTATTACAAGGACCCCCGAATAAGGTACCCCCAAGTTTCTGAAACTCCCATTTCCTAGTTCATCCTACTCCCAACCCACAAGGCATAGATCCCCTTGTACGTTGTGCTTTTGCCTTGATCCCCATGAAGCCCACCACTTCAACACTCCCTGATACAACCTACGTCCAAAATGCTAATAAGCCACTCATACTGACGCTGCCATATGTAACCAATAGTCACGAAGGGCTTCTGCACCCTCTTACCCTAAGGCACCAAAGTAGTTCCTTTTTGGGGTTCATATCTAGAACCCTATATGGTAATCCCAAGAAGGAACTAATTTGGGGCCTATGGGTAAACTCTAAACCAAAAGTTTTGAGTTCCGGCGTTGAGGGGTCTCGGTCCCTGGGTTCTGGGAGCTGAAATTTCGGGTCTGTCCCGCAGGCACACGAGACAGAGTTGGCCATCCGGCAGTACATGGAGGAGCCCAATCCCCAGAGGGCATCGAGCTTCGACATGGGTGGCTGGCAAAATTAGGGTCCCTATTTGGGTCCTTATTGTAATACGGCACCTAATATTTAGGGTAGCCAGAAAGGGACCATAATTTTGAAAATCTGCCACATGTCAGCACCGACATTAGCCACTTTCGTTGTTCGTTGACGTGGGTCCATCAACCGATGTGGGCCTGAGTAACATTGATTGAAGCATTGTTAGACAGTGATGTATGCATGCAGATGCTCATAATCCTTAAACGATAGAGGCCGGGCATGTTTTTGAGAATGGTGTCTCGGTGCTCCTGACTCCTATTTCTTTGGACGAAGGGGGCACACCGGCGTGACTTTGATTTCTTTGGGTTTCTTCAACATCGGAATTTGGCCTGCAGTAGTTAAAAGAACACGACCCCAGAGACCCAGCAGAGCATGTATGAGAGGTTAGCTTCAGAGGTTTCTTCCTGAAGCGTTTCAAGTGCGACTTCGGATTATGTTTGGCTCAAGAAAAAGAAGGGCAATGCAGCTAGATGCCCTGGTTCTTTAGAGGGTTGGCCGGGTTTAAGTACCTTCCTTCCCTCTTGATTGGTTATCAGCCGTAGCTCTTTGTTTCCTTTGGTTTCCTACTTGAACCCGGCCGCAGGGTTTTAGTGGTTCTTCCCCCTGCCATAGCAAGAGCGCAGCCTTAGGCGCGCTGGTGGGCAGATTGCTAGTGGGGTGCTGCCTTGTGCGCACCGGCTAGCATATGCCACCAAAGGGCGAGGCACCTGCCGGAGACAAACCCTGCAGAGGGGGCCGCGCAGGAGCGAAGAGGAGGAAGCTTCACTTTTACCAAGCGCAGGACGCGCTGATCCAGCTTGCTGAGAGGGTACAAGATATAATCGTGCAGAGGAGGAGCTTTGAAGACGTTACCGAGGCCCACTACGACACGATTATAAGGTTCGGCCAGATTACAGAGCAAGTCGACGTATATCACCCTGTGTGGGCAGATTTGGTCGAGTACTATCCTGAGTTGTGGGCTGCTTTTTCGGACGTCGCGGAAGAGCCTGCCACTGGGTCAGGAGCTCGCTGGAGGCCGAAAGCCGCAGCAAAGGCAGCCGGGTCGGGGGGTGCTGCTTCAAGCGCACCACAGGAGGAGGAGCAGCCAGCCGAGGAAGCGTCAGGCGCGCCCGCCGAGGGTGCAGCCCCTGGCGCACCGGCGCAGCCGCCCACACCTCCGAAGGCGCCGGCTCTTGGAATAAGGGGACCCACGCGGGACCTTTATTACAGGGGCCGGAGCGACCCACTGAGGCAGAGGAGGGTGCCAGCAGAGCCAGAACAGACCGTTGAAGACACTGGCGCGAGAGCATCATCCGAGCCACCGGCTGCCGAGGGCGAGGTGGATCTGTCCAGAGCTGGCGGGAATCCGGCAGAAGATTCCCTGCGATCTGCCAGGCGCGTCCGCACCCCGCCGGCGCGGCGAGCGCAAGAGGAGGCACGCCTGGAGGAGCTTAGGCTCCGCGGCTCGGTGTTTGCCTCTTTTAGGGACGCCGAAGACGCAGAGCCCGAGCAGGCAGCCGGCGAGGAGGAGACCGAGGAGGTAGAGGTAGAGGTCGAGGTTGCCCAAGGTGACGACCGGGGTGCTGCCGAAGGCGCACCAGACGACGAGCCAGCAACCGAAGGCCGACAGGCAGAAGGCGCCGAGGAGGAAGAGGCAGCAGAGGAAGACGAGGCAATAGACGTGCACCCTGCCTCGGAGGCAACAGTTTCTCCAGCCACTTCGGAAGCCGCAGCCCCAACGCGAGAGATCCGTGTGAATCTTGGCAGGGGCCGGGGTGTGACCCGCAGGCCACTTATCCTTGCACCTCCCACCGAAACCTTCCCAACGGTTCGGGTTGATAGTCAGGGTGCTTGGGTTCGGGTTAGGGATTCCGGTGCGGTTCCCACCTTTCAGCGTCGTGCCGTGCCCCCCCCGAGGGTGCAGCGCACCGCGCACCAAGGGGACGCAGAAGAAGCCCTAAGTGCACCCGATCCGTTTGATCTGCCAGACGACGCGTGGATCGATCCCAGCTCCTACCGGGAGGTCTACACAGCTAGTGGGGTTCCTAGGGGTGTGTCCGTAGCGCGCATAGACACCAGCTCTTCCGAAGAAGACACAAGGCAGCGGGGTGCTGCCTCAGGCGCACCGGCAACACCTAGGGCACCCCCACAGAGGCGACCGTTCCAGCAGGGAGAGATCGTTGAGGCCGAGGTGGAAGAGACAGCGGCCTTAGGCCAGCGGCGGCCCGCGACACCTGAGGGAGAGCCTCCAACGAGGCGCCCCCGTGTGGTCCTTACCCCCGCTTCTAAGGCACCCGGTGTCCCCACCGCAGCCAGCGCACCATTGAGGGTGCCGCGCCCGCCTCCGAAGGCCAGGCCCAGGACAGCCGAGGCAAGCACAGGCATAGGTCAGGCCAGGCGAGGTGCAAAGGCAGAGCCCATAGAAGCCGTTGAGGAGGCAGGGCCCAGAGAGCGCACAATAACCCCGCCCCGGGCAGAAGCAGCTCCCCCAAAGGGTGCTGCACAGGCGCACCGGGGTCGAGGGCGCAGCGGGTCGTGGCCACCCAAGCGGCACGCATCTTCATAACCAGAGGGTGCAGCTTCTGAGGGCGATTCCCCAAGGTCACGCGCACCGGTGACGAAGGAGAGTCTGCCAAAGGCGCGGCAACCACAGCCGAAGCTTCCCTCAAAGGTGCCTCCGACCGATAAGTACGGGGTTAGGTATAAGTCGCCTCCTGCGCCAGCGCCGCCCACGCCAACGGGGTCGGCAGCAACAGCAGCATATAAGGGCCCGCCCCACTCCGTGTTTGTGGCCAATATCAGCAGGGGAGGCCAAGAGCAGCCCAAGGCGAGCACAAAGGCTCCACCGCCGATCGTCACAGGCAATCGTCAGAAGCTAGCGTACCACGCTTGGGCGCAGCAGACGCGTGACGAGGAGAACGCCGAGGCCGCAGCTTCAAGCGCGGCGGCTGCCAGTTCCACGCAGAGGGTGCTTGCTACGCGCACCGAGGCCACTATTGTATTCGACTGGCACCACGTCTTGGACAAGGCCTGGATCGAGTCCAGAGGTGCCACCTGGGACACCAAGCCTGGTTCCCACGGGTATTTCAATACTGAATTTGTGGCCGCGCTAAAGGAATTCTGCGAGGAACACAAGCCACTGCGATTGGCAATTCTGAGTTACAGCACGCCATCCACTGCTCCTTGGTACCGCTTCCACTTCCTCGAGGAGGCCCTAGAGTGCTTAAGGGTGGCGTTGCCTTTGAGCATCAACCTTAGCATTGGGCAGACGTACCAGCGCACAGGACCGGACGGAAAAGCGCAGCAGTTGTGCCAGATAGTGCCGCCAGCAAGCGTCGTGATCGACGACAACCGAGGCATTATCAAGGAGTGCGCCAAAACCGGCGCACTCACGGTACAGGCTCAGAAAGGAGGAGGCGTCGACCAGTTGATCTACGAGCTCAACCAGGCAAGTGCTCTGATCAGGCGCCGTGGGCGCAACAACCTGCCCACGGCTCGTCACCTCGAGCCCCAAGAGCTGCTATACGAGAGGTAGCGCCCTAGGGTGCTGCTTTAGGCGCACCGGGCCGGCTGCTCCAGCCTGCGTGCCGCCACCGTCTTGCCAGCTTGCGGTGCCCGAGGGTGCCGCTCCAAGCGCACCGGGCCACCTTAGTGGTTTAGTGCCTTGGGTTCTGTAGCATAGGGGTTGCAAACGTCAGCTCCCTGCCTCTCGGAAGGCCGCCGGTTCAGCACAACACCTCCTTTCGCAGCGCCCTAGGGTGCTGCCTGTGGCGCACCGGGCCGGGTAACAGGTCTAGGGTGCATTGTGGTTTTAGTGCTGGGTGGTGGTCCTTAGGGGTATTGTACGTTACTTTTGCGTGTGTGTGTGCTGCATTTTGCGCACAGCCGTCGGCACACACACTTCTTTCAGAGACGCTTGGCGCCCAAACGGGCCAGCCACCGCGTGCGTACCAGTCACAAAAGTCTTTTCGAGAGTGGTTGCGTGAGGGGTCCTGTTTTCTTGCCCCCTCCCTTTTGCCCTAAGGTTCTTTTGGGGATTCTTTCGGGTCCCGGCCGATAGGCGGTTTTCGTAGACAGGGTGTTGTTTGGGCTCAAAGGCTCAAGCTTCAGGAGGTGAAGCCATGCCAGGCATCTCCCCACCATCAGAAGACCGAAGCCGAAGCCGGACATCAGGGGAATCCTCCTTTAGCGACCCAGAGCTTTTTAGCGGCCAGGCCTTGGTCCCGGCAGCAGCAACCATTCTTAGGATCCGCGAACCAGCCCCCACACCACAAAGGAATGAGGGGTATAGCTCGTCCTCCGCGGCGTCTCCCCCACAAAGGGGTCCCGAGCTTAGCGCAACACAAGCAACCTTTCTTGCAGGTGCCGCCGTGACACACGCCCACCACGCCTCCGGCGTTGCCTTGGGTGCTGCGTCCCTCGCGCACCAGGCTGCAGAGAGGGAACAGCAAACAGTTACTCAAGCTAGGGAGGCCGTAATGCAAGCTAGCTTTCAAGCTGCAGCGGCCGAGGCACAGTACCGCGACGAGGCCCAGACGATTGCACGGGCTGCGCAGGGTATCGTGGATGATGCTAGGTATCGAGAAGCTAGCCTTAGGCAAGAAGCCCAATCCGCCATTGATGCCACCACTCGTGAGGCTCAACAACGGGTCTCAATGATTCAAGGTGAGGCCCAGCAAGCCATAGCCCAAAGCAACCATTCAGCACAAGCTAGAATAAGGTTAGTTGAGGGTGAGGCTAGGGGTTTATCAGAAGCTCTCCGGCAAGCCACTTTGGCACGGGAGCAGGCTGAGGTCGATAGGCAGGAAGTGGTCCAGCGTTTGCGCCAACGTGACGCTGATATCGTGAGGCTAGCAGACGAGATGGAGTCGATGCAGCGGCGTCACGAGGAGGCAATGGCCGTCATGGCCGAGCGATACCGTGATCTGTCTGCTAAGTTTGTGGAGAGTAGCAACGCCCAAGCGCAGCGAACCCCCACAAGAACCCGTCTCTCTTTTCCGGAGATGTCTTTCTCCCCGGACACAAGCCAAAATGATGCGGTCCAACAACCCACAACCCCTGTGATCGAGCCAGTGCCTGAGGAACAAGAGACCTTAAGCACCCCGCTTGTCGCACAACCAACAGGCGAGAGCGATGCGCCCCAAGAGGGTGCAGCCGCTGGCGCACCAGGGGGGGAGGCCAGCCAGAGGGTTGATGAATTGGCTAAGTTGGTTTCCGATCTAGCGAAGTTGGTCGCAGCTAGTGCCGCGCAGTCTGGTATATAGTGCAGCCGCGCCTTCGGGTGCAGCCCCAAGCGCACCAGCAGAAGCACAGTCCGACCCACCACCTCAGGTACCCACGTTGAACCTAGGAGGCACCGCTCAAGTTACAGCGCCACCAGGCTCACCAGGATCAGGCGGATCATCCAGCTCATCGTCCTCATCTGATTCCTCAGCAAGGTCCGAGCACCCAGCATGTAGGATGTGTGGTTCTAAGAAACACGCAGAAGAGGAGTGCCCAGAGCTCACCTGCAACAAAGATGGAGGTGATGATCCAGCCCCTGACGGTGATGGGGCCGCAGCTTCAAGCGCGGCGGCTCCGAAGACCAATGCAGAGCTTGAGGAGGACACCATCAGAGTGAAATCGCTTTCTGATTTATCCTTTCCAAACCCGCCACAAAACGCAGCGCAAGCGAGAGGGTTTGTGAATCAGACCTTGATGGCCATTGGAAAACTCCAGAAGACCCCAGGCGACGAGGTGTACATCTGGGCACAAGATTGCCTAAAGAAGGAGCCTGCCGCACTTTGTAAGGATGGGCGCTTCCCTCGCCTTGACCGCGAGATCGCCGCTAAGCTTATCAAAGTGTGTCGCCACGGTCGCTTCGGGTTGCTTTTCCAGCAGATGGTTGAGTCTGAAAGGCTTCAGTCGGGTGGCATGCCCAATGGGCGCTGCATGCTGCGCGCCATATACAGTCACTTCCAGTTGGAACGTGATCGTATGGGTATGTTAGCTGAACGTAACCTCCTGAACATTAGGATCGGAGGGGATGGTATTTCCCATCTGGAGGCATTTCGTGATAAGTATCACTACGTCGCCAATACCGTTCCTGTAGAGGATCTCCCCAAGGACAGTACGATCTTCAATCATCTGATCGATGAGTTCGAAAAGGTTTCAGTTCTTAAGCCCAAGGTAGAGAAGGCAAGGGAAGCGAGACCGGGATCACACCGTCGCACCGCCGCATGGTTGTGGAACCGCGTGGACATTGCAATCGACTTGCACCAGCAGCGTGTCAATCGACAGGAGTTCGATAAGTCCTTGCAACAGAAGCCAGAGACCTTGACTTCCACCTCCCAGCCTTCAAAGCCAAGTGTGCCCGCAACACCCGCACCGGGTGCTGCCGCAGGCGCACCGAAAGGAGGCACTACCGACAAGCCGCCGAAGAAGGAGAAGAAAAAGAAGAAAAAGAAAAAGAAAGACGAGGGCGAACCCGAGGTTGAGGTCCCAGGTGCACCTGCCCCAAAGGGTAAGGGCAAAGGCGGAAAGGGCGGAAAGGGCAACGGAACACCACGAAGCCCAAAAGGTGGTGATACGACGCCCAGATCTGCTCAGGCCAAAAGCGCCAGGAACATGACCCCGGAGGAGAAGGCCAAGACACCGTGTATGTTTTGGGCGTTCGGCGCCTGCAAAGGCGACCCCTGTCCGTTCCTTCACGACAGCAAGAACAAGTACACTGGTCCTAAGCCCAAGTCACTTGCAAAGCCAGACGCTAAGGCTAAGCCTAAGGCAAAGGCGAAGGCGAACGCTGCAACGGCACCGTTAATCAATGCTCTCCCCGCCGAGCTGAACCAGGATGGCAAGATCACCTGGCTTTGGGACACGGCAGCAGGTAGGCATTTGATAGGTCGCCAGGCGCTTTCCTCCAAAGCCCTTTCCTGTGTCACCCGCTCCGAGACACCTGTTGGTTTTGCCACTGGTGGCGGCGCGCGTGAAGGCACTCACAGCCTCGCGTTTGAGGGCAGCCGGTTGTTACCTTCAGAGGAGCAGGTCTACGTACTTAAGGAGTGTCCGCCAGCCTTTTCTGTAGGTAAAGCTGTCCTTGACGAGGGATCCTTGTTTGTCTGGGACCCTCGAGAGCACCGTCCGTACTTCGTGAAGAAAGAGGACGTGCACCGCTGCAAGCTTCGTATCCCGCGCAAAGCGAGGATCAATGCGACCAGGGTCGTAGAATATGTCCCCCAGTTCGAGGAGACATTGCGCCCGGCAGTGAGGGAGCAGAGCCCAAGCCTAAGCCCCATTACTGCATCGGCATCCCCCGCGCCGAAGGATGATGATACTGTGTCGTTCAGCGATTTCGAGGTCGCAGATCTTGAAGAGGCTGAGGCAAGCTATCCCCGCACAACCTCTGGCGATTATGATTGGGAAGCCGACGTCGTCGAGAAGCATGCAGAGAAGAAGGCTGAAGCAAAGCGGCTTTTTCGTGAAGGCGCTGTAGGTGAGACAGCTGCCAGTGAAAGCTCCGAAGAAGAACTTTTTCCTGAACTCTTCAAGGGAAAGCCCGCAAGTACGCAACAGCCTGCCGAAGGCACAACAGCAAAGGAGGCTGCCTCAGGCGCCTCTAGTTCGCGTGAGGGGGCTGCTCCGAGCGCCCCTTCCACAGAGCAACCACCACCGTTGCCGCCTCCTCCAGAGCCCCACTCCAAGACCGAAGAACTTAGAGCCGAAGCCACTTCTGAGAAGCATCTTAGGACCCACTTTCCTAAGAATCCCTTCTGTAAGATCTGTCACATCGCCAAGACCACCTCAATGCGTGTGGCTCACAAGCCCGATGCCAAGGCAGATGACATGATTGATGTCCCCACTGCTCCGTTCCAACAGCTTGCCACTGATGATGTCATCATGGCAAAAGGTGATGAACACCGAGGCATAGGAACTGGAGGGGTTAAGTCACATCATGTAGTAAGGGATGTTTTCTCAGGGGCTAGAGTTGCGTACCCTATGACGCGTAGGGGTGCTGCCCAGCATGCACGCAACTTCCGGCATTTTATAGGTCTAAGAGCAAACGAGATGTCGCCGACCTGCCTCATTAAATTAGATGAAGCTGGCGAGTTGATCGTAGCGGCAGAGGAGGTAGGCCTGACCCCGGATTCCTCTCTCCCTAACAGATGGCCCCACAACGCCTTACTCGAGAGGGATATCCGCGAGGAAAAGGAGTGCTGCCGTGCTATCCACCTCCAGAGTGGACTTCCTTACGACATGCATTCTTACTCGTACCCGTACGCGTGCCTTTCTTTGTCCTTTGACAGGACGGCACCGCTAGGGGGGGTCACACAGTGGGAGGCCCTCACAAAGGAGCCCTTTAATGGGAAGAGGGCCTGTTTTGGGCAACTCGTCTGGTACCGTTCTAAAGGTTCTAAGCGCACTCTTGAACCCAACATGTCACCAGGTCTTTTCCTAGGGTGGCGGATAGACGCAGGCATGCGCTATCGCAATGTTGTTAAGGTTCTTGATTACAACGACTTTCGTGGTAAACGCAACACGTCTGTCCACGACGTGCCAGAACCTGAGTTGTACATAGAGGACGGTCCGCCCATCTTCCCAGTCGCGAATGCAACCCGCAAGGCGCTTGTAGACGGCTCCACCTTGAGTGCTGCCTCCGGCGCACTGCCCGAGATCCCATTGCGGGAGATTCCCTTTGCTCTTGAAAGCATCGGGCCGCCGGCGCCCAGAACACCTGGCGTTAGGACGGTTTATATCACCGCCGATAGGATTGTTAAGTTCGGGGAGACTCCGGGTTGCTTAGCGTGTAGGGGAAAGGCCACAAAGCACACCGACACTTGCAGAGCACGCTTTGCCGAACTTGTTAAAGCAGACAAGGAAGAAGCTGCTGCAAGGAGGGCTGCGCTTCGCGCCCTGGGAGAGTCACCAGAGACTCCCGCGCCTAGCGTTGCTCCAGAGACTCCCTTTCCAACCGCTGCTCCTGAAACTCCTGCTCCAAGCGTTGCACCCAGTACTCCTGTACCCCCAGCTTCCGCTACAGTGAGCGTTGTTTCTGCAGGCGCTGCCTTGCCACCGTGCACTGCCAGTACCACGTGTCTCCTAGACACTGTGCGTGGAAAGGAGAACCTACCTGTGTTTGGTTTAGCTGCTCCCTCTACACCGCGTTTTGGGCAGGACAAACCGCAACGGAGAGGTAACAAGCGGAGTCGAAGGAGAGGGAAGCCCACTAAGCTCACGACTGTCTTTGAGTACGCATGTTCCCCAAACTCAATGTTAGGGCGTGTGAACGAAGAGCTTGGAGTACCCCACGTACGCCTCGCCAAAGAAACTTTGGACGTTGAGAACGAGCTTGTGGCCGCCCAGCTGCACGAACAGTTCAGTGCGTGTCCTAAGAGTCACCTTTGGGTGTGTCTGCCGTGCACCTCTGGATGCCAGTGGCATCGCGTTCAGTTTAAGAGAGGTGGCGGTGAGTATCGCGCACGACTCCTGCAAAAGATTCACAGGTCTAAGAAGTTGTTCGCACAGTTTGTTGAGCATGCTAAGACCGCGCTTGACCTCGGGATTGACGTCACGTTTGAGTGGCCGAGGTATTCCGATTCATGGAAGAGGCCTGATGTAAAGGAGTTCTTTAAGGATCCTAGGTTTAAGGTTGTTGACTTTGATGGTTGTATGTTAGGTGTGTCTGCTTCAGGGGGGCAGCCGGTTAAGAAACCATGGCGCCTCATGACAACATCCACATCTATCGTATCAGCCTTTGAAGGGATCACCTGCAACCATGATCCCAGTGAGCACGTCGAGGCTCGGGGAAAGGATCTTGAACTCACTGGGTTGTACACGCAAGAGATGTGTGAGCGCATCGCCTTTGCCATCAACCCCAGTAGGGCCTATATCTCGGTTCCTGCGATGCCGATCTTACCCACTTCCACAACCACTGAACACCGCGAAAAAGAACAGGAACTGAAGCACGTTTCCGCTCTCAGCGGATACGAGGACCTTGCCGCCGTAATAGAGTCCGACCAGGAGGCTTCTAAGCTCGTAGAAGAGGTCGTCGACCTTTCCGCCCTTGTGTGTGCAGTTCATGGCATACCTAAGGAAGCACCCTCAAAGGAGGTGTCTGCAATGGTGACGAAACTTCTCTCTCGGGCCGAAATGCTCTCCTCACCTGAGGCCCTCAATGCGGTGAAACAGGAAGCAGACGGTCTTCGCGCAGTTCCAGTGTGGGACGAAACGAACCCGCAGGAATACGCTAGCGTCCAAGCGCAAGCGCGCCGCACTGGCACTAAGGTACACTTCGGCAAGCTGATGAGCATTGCGTCCATCAAGTTTTGGGAACTTGCCAAGCACCTTCAGAAGGTTAAAGGCCGAATCGTGTACCGGGGTGACTGTGCGAAGGACGAAGAGGGCGCCGCAGCGGTTTACAGAGAGTTAGGTGCAAACCCCACCTCTGTTCAGGGACTTAATGCCTGTTTAGCTTACGGTAGCTTACCTGGCCATCAGTCCAGTGCCGCAGACGCCGTCAAAGCGTATGTGCAAGCTCTTCTTAAATCCAAGTACCAAACTTGGATAGAGCTACCACCTGAACTTCGTCCTGCTTGGTGGCGTGAGTGTTTTGCAAAACCAGTAGTGCTGCTTCTACGCGCGCTGTACGGCCACCTAGAAGCAGGCGGACTGTGGGAGAAACACCTTAAGGAGGTTCTTAGGAATATGGGTGGACAAGAACTGCCGGAATATCCAGGTAACTTTTGGTTTCCTGAGACTAAGCTCCTTCTTTCCACTTACGTTGATGATCTTACCCTCTCTGGACCACAGGAGGAGCACCAGCCGTTTTGGGATGCTTTGTGTAAGGTTGTTGATGTAGAACCCCCAGAGCCTGTGTATCGGATCTTAGGTCGCAATCATTGCACTATCAACGCCGAGCCTGAAGGCACCGAGAATGCTGCCCTAGGCGCATTAAGGGGTGCCATGGCGTTTGATATGTTTGACTATGCGCAACAGACCGTAGACCTTTACAAGGGCCTCACTGGCCTTAAGGCTCTAAAACATGCTGCCACTCCCTTTGCTCCAGAGGCTTCACTTCCTGTGAGCCAAGAGGAGATCGCAGGGGAGCTTGCTCCTAATGCATGTAAGGTGTTAATGAAGGCCCTTTGGCTAGGCAGACTTGCGCGTCCTGACTTAGTCAAGCCGATAGGTGACCTCGCGACCAAGGTGCAAAAGTGGTCGAGGAACGATGATAAGAAGCTTCTTCGCCTGATAAGCTACATCGATTCCACTAAGACCCACCGCCTTGTAGGCACTGTATCGGACGGGCCAAGGGAGCTGCATCTTGCGCTCTACGTTGATGCCGACTTTGCAGGGGAAAGGGACGATGCCAAATCCACCAGTGGAGGTTTCTTAGTCCTAAAAGGTCCCAACACCTTCTTTCCTCTTGCATGGGTGTCCAAGCGCCAGACGTCTGTGAGTCGCAGTACCACAGAGTCCGAGATTGTGTCTTTAGCTCATAGCCTCTTCCAAGAAGCACTTCCGGCATTGCAGCTCTGGCAGACTATCCTCGACTATCCGATCAGGTTAGTCATTCATGAGGACAACCAGGCTACGATCCTAGTTGCAAAGAAGGGCTATTCGCCGAAGCTTAGGCACATAGCGCGCACCCATAAGGTCAATTTGGGTTCCATCTCTGAGGTGATTGATGAGGATGATGTAGACATTGAGTATGTCGATACAAACTTGCAGGCTGCCGACATCTTCACCAAAGCACTTCCACCACAAAAGTGGGATAATGCGTTGAAGTTGTTAGGCATGCGCCAGAAGCTTCCCGAGGTTCTGGTAGACACGAGACAACTCAAGACCAAAGCCGGTAGTGGCCCTACCACCTCTCCCACTTCGGGGTCTAGTCCCAAGTAGCGACGTTCACTTTTGCACAGCTTGCCGGAGGGAGCTGCTTTTAGCGCTCTTCCGCTAGGGGGGCTGCCGTAGGCGCCCGTGTGCTTAGGGGGCTGCTTTAAGCGCCCCATTGTACAGTTCCGTAGTCTGCAGTTGACTCTGGCGAGGGGGGAGTTAAAAGAACACGACCCCAGAGACCCAGCAGAGCATGTATGAGAGGTTAGCTTCAGAGGTTTCTTCCTGAAGCGTTTCAAGTGCGACTTCGGATTATGTTTGGCTCAAGAAAAAGAAGGGCAATGCAGCTAGATGCCCTGGTTCTTTAGAGGGTTGGCCGGGTTTAAGTACCTTCCTTCCCTCTTGATTGCAGTTCTCATAAAAAAACACTTTGCCAGTCGTACTGGGAAGAGCTCTCACAAATCGAAGAGCGCCCGTGATCGTAGGTACAATCAGATGGTTTTCACTGCTGACCGTGAGCCATCATCATATAGGGGGCTCCGAAAAGCATGTGCAAAAAAGGGGGAGAACATCCAAAACTTGCGGTCCTGAGGGAGAAGACTCTCCGTGGCCGGATCCATCAGGACAGGGAAAGTCGATGACGATCGTGCTCAGGGCTCTGTGCGATTTTGGGTTTTAAGCTTTGCAGGAGGTCTTTGGAAGATTCTCTTAATCGGTTTGTGATAGCATGGCAAGATGCAGAAGGACCGGCGCAGGCACCATGAATGTTAGCCGCCCCGCCTCAGGACAGAGCTTTTATCAGAGTAAGGTTTCGGACTCGAGAATAACGGAATATTCTAATCATGCAGCTTTCAGCTGAGGCTAGCTGGCACGATTTGTCTCAGCATCTCTACCTTTCTGCAGAGGCGCAGCTTGAAGCTGCAAAGGTCCGGGAGGAGACGGATCGAAAGGTGCAGGCGCATGCGCAGGGCTTGTTTGGAGTGGAGGATCGCAAGTTGTCCATAGTTGTTTGTAGACCGGCTGCGGCTGTATGGTATTGATGACTGTTCTCGGTTTTCTGCTGTTGACCGATGTTAGCTGCGTGTCTTCATTCAGACCGACAGAGGTCAAGTAAGCTCATTTACCGACCGCTGCTGATCGCCGGCCGATTGCTGAAGCAAACCATGCCGTCACAGCAACACTGCGCTTATCAACAACTCTGTAATGAGAACAAAGCAGCTTTTTCCAGATTATGTTAGCCGCGAATAAGAGTATGATGAACGATGAACCTTTCTTCTAGCCCAAGCCGTCTTTCCCAATATCTCTTGTGTTGGTATTGTTTCTTCTTTTTTTCTTGATTTTCCTATGCTCTTGTCATCATGATTGAACTTGAATGCTGATGCCACTTCTTCGTTGTGTCATTCAACTTGGGTTTACTGGCGGGCCCTGAGAACAGGATGTGACAGAGGAGTTTGCCGCGCAGGAAAAGGAGATACAGGCAGAGTGTTTCGCGGGTTTTTGTGGCGCGACCGCTAGTTGATGGGGATGGTCGAGACTACCCAGCTTCCCAGTATCCGGTTTCTAGGCAGAGTCGCTTCTGTTGAAACTGCCTTGACACAGGGTTGGAGGTTCACATATGACGGCAAATGCGCAGAATAACTGCCAACATTGCAGCAAGCTGCAAAAAACATCACATGATGCCCCGAACCATGCTCAAGGTCTTATGCGTCAATTTGGGGCAGGGGCTCGCAAAGTGTGTGTTCTCGTCGGGACTTCAAACTGTTCAACCCGTGCCTTTGTGTGTCAGCATGCATACATATACATATGTATGTATATATACATATACATACATACTACATATACATATATATATGTATATATGCATATCTACATAAGTGTATATATATATATATATGTATTATATGTACATGATGTGTGCGTGCTTCTTCCGAGTACTTGTTAGTATCATCTGCGGTGTTAAAACTATTATAGATATCATGATGTATCTGCAAGTACTGAACTCCACTGTTGGGAAGGGAATTGGGAAGTGTGCGTAAATATTTGTGCATGCAATTATGGATGCTGAGGTACACATACACATCCACATGCATACATATATATATGTATAAATGTAGATATATGTATGTATATACACACGGACATGCAATCGTAGACATACACAGCACACATACACACATACACATAAACACACGTACACACACATACACACACACACACACGCACAGATACACACATACACATGTACACATACATGTAGTATACACACGTACATACGTACGTGCATACCACATACCTGGTTACCTAATTACGTACCTACATACCTACATGCTGTACATACATAACATACAGATGTGCTTACACACATAATTACATACAGACACACACCCATACATACATACACGCAGACGCAGTGTGTTTTCCGTGTGGACATTCCAGTTGCCAATGCTCTTATGTTTGCTTCGTTCGTAGAGCCGGCAGACAGGAGCGAGAGGAAGCGCTGGAAGCCGGCAGCGACCACATCAACAACCTCCGCTCAAAGTCTCTTGGTTACATAATTAGCTTCATACTGTTCGCTGCCAGCGCCATCCAGTTGAAGTGATTTGATGTGCTTTTCACCCGCGCCGACCAGCAACTACGGCCTACAAGGACGCTGCATCTACTGTGGCTGCTGTTCCGTTTAAAACCAGTACTACTACGGCTGCTGCCACTATCACCACTCTCACTATCACCAGTACTGGTACTACTACTACTACTACTACTACTACTACTACTACTACTACTACTACTACTATTACTACTACTACTACTACTACTACTACTACTACTACTACCACTGCTACTACTACTACTACTACTACTACTACTACTACTACTACCACTTCTACTGCTGCCACTGCTGTTGTCTACTTCTACTCCGAATCGTCATACTCCTCCCTTGTCGGCTCGCAGTTGCAAGCCTCAGCGCCCAGGTTTCAGTTCCTTTCGTCACAGGGATCCAAGGAGGCCTTCTGCAGCCATCCGAATCGCCACGGCCTCGCAGCAGGCCCAAGCGGAGTGAGACGTCGTAATGTGCCTGAGCATTCCACTTGCAGCAGATTTTTGCAAATCCGAGCAAAAGGCGGGCCTTTATCATTGAAGCCTGGAGCTTGCAGATGCGCGAACAGTTCGTTGGGCAACTTCGTGTGTCTGTTTGTTTCTCGCTTGCTCCATTAGCTGCTGTTGCTGTTGCTGTTGTTGTTGCTGCTGCTACCCTTCCGTGTTGCAGTCGGTGCGGTTACCTTGATGATTCTATCTATGCTGGTGAGCGTCAAGTTTCATTAGTAGAGAGGTTCTTGAATCGTAGCTTCTCATATACTAATGAGGGCTAAGACCCCGGTGCCTGCGTTTTTCGGGCAGCCACTACCATGTTTCCGCATTTGCGTGGTTGGCGATTGGTGGTGTTAATGTTGCGGCTGTTTGTTTGGTTAGGTACTCATTTGGGAGTGTAATAACCCCGTGCTGTTAAGTTTAGTCTTGACATGTCCGTGTTCGGTTTCGATGGTTCTCTGTGGAAAAACGATGAAAAGAAAATAAACCGATAGCGAAGCGATAACGAATTATTCGTGGTAAAACGATAAGAAAAATAAAACGGTAACAACATTCAGGGATAAAGATATTTATACTCGGTAACTTGTCGTTATTGCTGTGATCCTTGTTGTCGTTGCCACAGCTGTTTCCTTACTTTTCCTCATCGCGCCTGCCAAGCTTCCTGCACCGCTGCCTATTTCGGATGTGACCGCCCAGAACAGGCCCTGCCGGCCATTGCTATGAGTATTGCCGTTGTTGTTCCTTGGGGTGACCTTGCTTTTCTTCCAGATCCCGGCCCAAAAATCCCTTTCTATCGCGCGACGTGTGTGCAGGTCAGCCAAAGTGCGGATGCAGCTTGCAATGAGCTCCGGCTTCTTTCAGATCCTGGGCATAGCTCATAGGTTGAGTTAGGTTAAGTCAGGACGCAGTCATGGAGGTCCGTTGTCTTCACTTTCAATTCGGGAAGATGCAGGCGGCTCTGGCGGAATGCCGTGCGACTGCCGAGTTCCCAACTTTCTTTTGTACATGCAATTGCTCTCCGCAGAGGGAGGTACGGGCCAGTCTTTGCGCATCAGTCCCCACCCTTGAAGACCCAGCTCCAAAGATGTCCTTACTAGTATCAAGAAGATGCCACTTCTTAGCGTCCGCCACAGGAGCTGAGCGTCTAAGTCTGGCAAGTGCAGAATTCGGCGGCCTCAGCGATGGCAGAGGATAGCTTCGAAGGGACCAGAATCATTTACAAAAGCCCTTTAAGCTGAAGCCCACATCTTAATTCGCATCTCGTTTTTTCGTTCCCCAGGAAAGTCGATGTTGCGCAGTCCTTTCTAGGGCGGGGCAGTCGACTTGGAATCTGTGGATTTCAATTTCCTGGCTGTGTCCTCCTGGATCCAGATTCCAGATCTAGTTTCGGTGTTCTCTTCGACACGGGCTTTTTCAATGTGGTACCAGCGAACCAGCAGGATAATTGCATGCAGCTTAGCCTAACAACGCCTTCTGTACAAGAAGGTAATCGTAGCCGCTCTTCAGCACGCACCAAGCCGATGCTGTAGATACCTGTATCGAAAAGAGGCACGTCTCCGGTTTCAGATTGATGATGCTCTTTCGGGATCATGCATCTCGGGCTGTAGCTCCCATCGCTACTACCACTACCATACTACTAGAGTGCCAATCGCCACTGCTGCTACTTTGGCTGCGACTGCTACTGTGGCTGCTACTACTCCTACTAGTGCTACCACCACCGCCACCGCCACGCAGCCTCCGCCGCTAGCAGCACGAGGACTCCGACGAAGACACTGCAAGACGATTGCCACGACGAGCTGCAGCAGCACACCACATGCCAAAGCAGAGTGTTGCGAGGCAGAACAGGTGGAGCATTGCCACCACAAGTAAGCAGTGTGGTAAGACAGGAGTAGGAACATCTGCAACATCTATATCTGTATCCGCATCTATATGTAAATTTATGTGTAAATCTGTATCTATACCTGTATCTATATCTATAC